ATGATGTTTATCTGTGGTTTAAGAGTTGATTTGCCTGCTGTATAGTATGGCAAGGCTAATTAGCAAATCTATATAACGATATATATTATAAGTGTAGGAAGCGATTCAGATGTGGTATATCCTTAAGGCATTTGCTGCTCAGTGCGCCCATATTATAATTACCAATTCGCGCATAGCTCATACTCATACAGACTTTTCCAAAGTCTGCATCTCTTCAGCTTCCAGAAACACTTTGATTTTCCACCTATAAGTTATAACTGTGTTCTATCCCTATATAAGATGTGATGAACTGAAAGGGGAATCTCGTACTCGCTCAATCCTGCTAATATCCTGAACACGCAGAATACACAATCACCTTGAAAACCCTCTCCAAAATCAACCTCTAAACAAATATGCCATTTCTGACTGCCAGAATTGTGACTAGTCACCAGCTCATCGATTAATAGTGTAATTTTATATCTCGAAAATGAATGATGGCTCTACCAAGTAGCAATAAGTTGTAGTTGAATGTCGGAAGAACTTTCTTCCTATCTACATTTCCAAACCCTTGCTTTGACCTAAGGTAAGATTAAGCGAGGCTATGTGAATATATCGCACATTGATTAGTGTTCCTTGGAAAATGACATGATGCTGAAATGCTGAATGAACGCTGACGAGGGTCTGAACGGTGGAGGAGAGAAATGATGGAAAGAGGGTCGAGATCGGTGGTTTGATTGTGCTTGTTGCCGAAGCGACTTGCTGCAGCTTGTAAGGAGATGGATTTATTGATGGAATTTCACGGCGATGTTAACGGCATAATACTGGCAGGTCGAATCAATTCAGCTGTGCGAAATAGTTTATCGAGTACAATGGATACGAACAATATAAAGGGGAATGGAGAGGCGGCAGGCATCAGCGAATACGATCCTGAGACCTCTGCGAAGGGATTCGTGGAGTAACTTGGCGAAGAACAAATGAGATAAATAAATGTCTTTATTGGTTCTACAATGAGTACCTTGTTTGAAGGTTATGAGTAATCGCCATATGTCTTGGGAAAACACCGTATTATCATTGCCCTACAACGGAGCCGACATGGCCCAAGTACCGAATAGCATCGTCCCTGAAATGCTCATCGAATTGCCATTTCTATTATCATAGCATACCCATCTTACTGGTTTGCTTGTCATTTTCCAATAACGGTCTTCTTGTCATATCCCAGGTTCTACCATGACTTCACCCTACCATCCTGCTCTCACCCTGCCATAATTTGCCATAGTGCCTTAATCTTGAACCTCAAAGAGCCGAAAAGACGAGGTAATTCGAAATATCGAGAGGCAACAGGAAATGAAGCTGATTGGGAGGAGCTATCCGACCGAACGCCACGAGTGGTTGCGTTGCCGAGCTCTAGATCAAGAGGCTCTTGAAAATTCGGAGCTTGAAGTGAACGACAATGCCGGTTATTACTCCTATGCAATTAATTAATGATACCATTGGAAAAGCCTGCCAGAAAGGCGAGGGAATGTAAGATTATCTCTGGCATGGATGGCGAGCATCAAGCGGATGATTGATGTGTGTGCAATCTATGTTAGGCTGCGCAACTGGTATCCGCGGAGCGGATTATTGCTCTGGTGGATAATCCGTGGGTAATCCGCTGGCGGGGCAGATAATTGGGAAATCTTCACGAATAATCCGCGGGGTGGGTAGGAAGTTCATTGGATTATCCACGGATATCCGCGGGCTGCGGATTATTTCTGCGCAGCCTAGTCTATCTAGTATCAATCGCCTTTAATCCCTTGTGGCGTTTACGGGCGAGATGAATCAACCAGATGGTCGTTGTTAGTCGATCTTCTCATTAATTAGGACCAAACTGGAGAAACAATTTCAATCGTACAGTTTAAGTTTCTTTGTCGATGTTGGTGGTCCTAACTGGCAGGATTCGTGGGAAGAAGAAATGAATGTCAAGCGTCAGGGGAACCCTTTTGGGATCATTAAAACCACGAGACGACAACATATTTGTGGTATTACTCGTTATTTGCAGCTAGTGGGTTGCTGATTGCAAATGATGAGTGGTCACCTGTGAAAATTTCAAAGAATTGGGGATGAAATGTATACGAGGATAGTGCTTCCTAATCGATACAATACGGCATGTTTCCGGACTTTGGAATTATCAACAAGAATTCAAGTTGGCTTGTAATGCCTTATGCAAACTGGTATTTTTATATAAATATAACACAGTTTATTAAGGTCTTGCCAATCAGAGTACAAGGGTCAGATCAAATGGACTCTCATAATGGCGATGATGACGGCTGCTTCGAATAAAAAGAAATTCCGGTCAAATAGGATTTTTGTTCCCAGGACCATAAGGTTCTGCTATTCTGAATGTTCTTGTATGTTTCTTCGTCTTGGTGGAATCTGTCTTTCAACACCGGGTTGCACTTACTATCTTGAAAAGAGATGCTTTGAAGAAGTAAGTGGCGAATTGCCGTGTAAACAAGGAAGCTGCGAGTGTGGTCAGAAAAATCAACATGTCAGTACTGTGCCTCAAGGCCCAAAGTCATGTAGAGAAGAACATGAAAGTTTAATCATGACTTCTCCTTGCTCAGCTCATAACATGATTGCCCTTCTCAAACGTTCATTCCTAAATGCCTGTGTCATTCTAGATCTCCAATGCCCATGTCCGTGCCCTATGTCATATCTCCATGTTTAATGCCTACTCCGAGTGCTTCTGGTTCTAGTACGTTAGAAAAGCCTAGACATTAGATAACATATTTCAATCACGAATATGTTAGATCTGCACACAGTTACTTGCTTTGTCAAACACGCAAGTGTAATGTAATTCGCTATCCCGGATGAACTTGGGTGTCTTTCGTACTGTCATTTGTTTATTCCCACGCTTACCATATCATTAGTACTAGTACATACAAACTGCATGGGGGTCTATTGAAATTGAAACTTCCATGAAAATGTCGGCCACCGTCTGGGAGAGGCCCTGATCAGGAAGACACACAACCATACTACACGTAGATATCACTTCCTTTCCAACGTCTATCTGGAAAATTTGAATGTATAGATTTGAAGTATCAGCTCATGTATGGCACAGGGAGGCTAGGCTTTGGCAAATGAAAGTCAACGCATTCGTTTTATCTTTTGTATCGCTCAGCATATTTAACCAAGGAATAAGTTTTAACGCTCCACTCAACTCGTGATTCACCATCAAAAATATCACTTCAGCAACCAGTAGTGACTTCGGTAAAAATTATGCGAAGGACACAAACATTTGATTGAAATTCTTTTAATTCACCGGATTTAGGGCTAAGGGCTAGGGCCTTCTTTGTCTGACTCATGTTCCGAACACATTAACATGCTTGAAGAAAATTCCAAGGAACGTAAAGGCAATGGTAAATATTGTATATCATTTGTCTCATCGCCGATCTCACATTCAAGAGGTTAATGCACTAGTGTGTGTGATTTGAACGGCCAGTCGTATCGTTGATCACAGTGTAAAGCGGGGTACAATCAAAGGAACGCGTAGTCGGTGATAAACTAGTGTCTTTTTAATGTTCATAAATGCCAGTTCTTATCGATTTTATGTCATTATTACCTAGATGTTGTCAAGTTCAAAGGAGTCAAAAGCCGGAGTTGACTAACGATTAACCTTAACCGAAAATGGGTCCTCGTCATTGGCTTTTCCTTTTTTCTTCTGCATTGTATAACCAGTTCAAAATATAAACCAAGCGGTGATCACTGCTAGCTTGAATATATAATGTACAATGAGTTATATTTACTGTCAAACAGAGTTTTATAATAACATTATAATGAAGAAATTAATCTATTCTATATCAAAGTGCCCTTTTTATTGGTATTTTTTAAAAAAAATTACTTGATAAGCTAATTACTAAATTAGTGCCCGGTCGAATCTACAATTCTACATGGCAGCAAAGTAAAAGTATCTTGTTTTCTTTCAAAAACCTTCAGCCAATCATCGTGTAATGACCCGGACAATTTTTTATTTACAGCTCAAAAACTTATTGAAACCATGCTGTATATTTGATCCAACTACTCTATATTCTCGGCAGTTGAACATCAAGAGACTGATCGGCATCATAAAAACATGGTTCCTGTTATTCAAAGTTCGACCTAAATCGACGCTAAGTAATTAGCAGCTCCCACTAAGCAAGAAGATAATGAGATTGAAAGCTTATTCACAGGTCTTGTCTTTGGAATATGGAAGTAAAGTTCCAGTTTCAAATGTAGAAGCAACTCAACAGATATATCATGTCATCTAATTTACGGAAAATGTTGCTCAGAATTTCCCGGACATTGGAGAAACGGAGTCTCAATTGAAGATTCGGCAGGAGAACCAGAACTTGAAAGGGTCTAGACGCCCAAATTATTAGCTCATTCGGTGTAGTGAAGAGTTCGGGACAGAAACGGTACCTTTTCTACCTTCTAAGGCTTGGGATGGAACTCTTTCATCACACTAAAGTAGTGCAAAAGAAGACGGTAACTCTTGGGCCGAAATTATCTGGCTCCCACTATGGTTCTTGATAGACACATTGTAAACATGGGAACCGATATTTTAAAAGACTTTCAAAATCATATGTAGCTGAGATTTCATAAACATACTCATGTACTTCCGACGAAGGCGTAAACTTCAGTGCGTATTTGAATCTTCTCAACCATGTATCGGTTGTAGCCAAGTAAATATGCCTCGAACCACGATTATTACACTTGCAACGAGAATGAGACTTGATTAAGTCGTTCGGCATTTGCAACTTGTTGCCCCGGGAACCAAGCCATTGCTTATCGACCGCTGATCAAGTCCTTATATCTTGAATATTTTGGTAGCCAGCCGATCTGAAGCTCCTTATCTTCGATGTATTGGGTATCCTGCCTGAACACCAAGTCACTGTTTAAAGCTGGCGCGAAGCGCGATTCCTACTCATCAATAGATGTGCACTTTCTGTTTTTAGCCTGTATCTAGCTAACGGATTTCAATACTGGTTGCCACGTTTAAGTTACCTTAGACATGATAGTCGCCCATCGGTTTGAAGCTCTGTATCTAAACGCACTAATGCAAAAGTATGTGTCTTTAGCTGATTTTGGGAGGCAAAATTCGTCAAGATTGTTTATAGAAGGTGCCTCGCAAATTTCCATTCTCTCTTTCCCTTTCTCTTTTCACCCACGTACAGACACTTCGACCTTCTACTTGATTTCTTCAAGTGTTACATTTCAACATCTCACCAATACAGAGGACATCTTATTGTCCTAACAAAGTAAGTACCTCTTCCATTCGTACTGCATTTATTCCTATAATTTCTTAGATGGGCATTATCAAGTCGTTGTACAAACTACAAAAACTGTGTTTTTATGCTGTACTACGAATTGCAATTCAAAACAGGACACTTCCAAGTCTTGAGTTCATTTGGGACATTTAAATCATGTGGGATCTTTGAATTCGTTAAAATACTCGAATCATTCTCAAAGTTTAAAAGCCTTTCCAACATTCAACGGTATGAAATGATTCCGCAATTCCGGGGTATACATTGTCCCAGATTTTAGACTCAATTTGAACTTGAATGTTTGAGTAGGATTCATTGCTTTAACTGGTTTGAATGTTTCATTTGGATTCAAGAACTGAAGAGCTCCGTACAAAAGTTCCGTTTCAATTTAACAAGTAAGCTAACAATAACTGTGATATATATAGTCTTACACCAAGAATCAATCGTAAAGGATTGAATTTAGCGAAAATGAATACCCATTCATCTGCCTCCGGTGCGCCCTGTTCTGGAGTCGGCACCATGCTCCGCTTGAGCCCCAGCTCAGAAGATAGTAGTGGCGACTCTCACCGCCATTGCATTGGGCTCTTCGAATGTGACATGTGTGCTCAATATTTGAAGAGTGTCGTCGTAGATGGAGGTGAACCTCTCAACGAGGAGGGTCTTGCCGCAGCCAAGATTTTGGCGAGCTTGGCGCAAGATGGGTCTAGGGACACGACTGCCCAAGACAATAGGAACGAGTATGCCACAGGGTATGCTCTTGATGGAGAAGACAGATTGTAAGTCATATGTTTCCTGAGTGCAAATTGTTCAATAGTCCGGATTGGATCTAAGCTTTTGATATCTGAAAACATTTTGATATTGGAAGTGAATTCAACATTTTAAATTGTATGAATAATTTAAAGCATTTTGAATTTCCCAAAGAATTTCATTGCTCAAAGATCTCATATTGTTTGATTGCAGCCCGGACTATTGGCCAAACTATTCTGGTGTCGAGCCACTGCTAACATGTTGCAGGCACGGCTCTATGTTTGAGCATGGAGGATCTGGCGGGGCGGCGCTTGGTAGAATGGCACCTGTTCAACCAATCCACCAGACAAAATCTGGCGCCGGTGCTTTCCGAAGTAAGAGGGCGGAAGGGCAAGGAAAGAGTTCCGCCCCGAGCCCCGAGAAAGCCCAAGTAAAGAAAGCCGCTCGGGCAAGAGCTACCGGCGTCAATAAGGCACGTAAGCCTGCTTTGTCGCGAGAAGAAAGGGAAGAGGCTCAGAAGAAGAGGAGGGAGGCTAAGAGGGTTGAGAATGAGCGGATGAAGAAGCAGTTGTTTCCGCCGTTCAAAAAACATGACAGAGGAGAACCTGCTGTTGCGTTGGATCGCATGGGTTACCCAGCGAAAAATTCTGGCGTTCCTCCTGAATTGATGGGAAGGTACAGCGACAACTAAACGCTGTGTACCCTTTTTTAACCCCAAAAATTACAAAGTTTGATTTGTGTAAAATTTTGCTGCCACTAAAACAATGTCGTGTACCTGCTTGTGAAAGTTTGACTCTATTATGAATGACGAAAAGTGTATTCTGGATCTAATTATCGTCTCCTTGTCACTTCAACGGCTTGTCACGGGTCCTCGATATTGCTCGTCTGCCCATTTCTGAATGTACGGTTCCTTTACTAATAAGTAAAATGAAGTTTAAGATCTTATTGTTATTCTTCTTCTTCTTCTTCTCTGGGTACGATCATACAACTACTCTCTCTTTAACATTTCAAGGTATCGAGTAACAAGGCTTCCAACATTTTCTTGTTGGAAGCTCTCCAGACAGTACAATGATATCATCACTTATAGTTCACATTGATCACTTTTCCTCCGGAAATGTTGAAGCCTGCGTTCAAAGGAAGCATTCTTCTGTAGTATATATATTATGACATTACCTAGAACTAATAATAAGTGTTTGACGGACTTCTAACGCTGCGTAACCTTACCTTGACCATTTTTAGGATATTCTCAAGCTCAAGAAATCGTATTTTAAGAACCATCATTCCTTTCATTCAGCATCACATTCTAGATACAAAGGAAATACATACATTACTCTTTCCCGATCTACCAACTAAATCCTCGGAACACATGATACCACACAGTCAAGCCGCATATGTCCCGCTGTACGGGTGCGTATACCGAATACGGCAAGTACTAACGCAATCACCGGTACTTTCCTCGATGCGATATTTATGGCGCGTATGGCTATTGTTCTAGGTTGAACTTTAGAACAGACTAGGTAGTAGTCATTGAGTCATTATAAGACGACACTGCTTCACTCAATATGATAAAATATTTGCATAGGGATGTGAATTTTATGAAATCATATTTCATTCTATGTTTAATTTTGCGAAGATTTCTGAGCCGTTTGAGATCCACTATGCTCTTGATCTTTTGCAAATGTGCCTGCCACTATCAATGGGAAACAAGCAGTTGCCTCGACATACACCTTGACACTATCAGCTCCAACTTTGATTTTCCCCCAACTAACTGCCTCATCTGGTCTTGCCCCTGCATCGCTTCCATCAAACTCCTGTGCAGTATTAATGTACACCGCGCTCTCGGCTCCATTTCTCATAAGACATGCATTCGCAATGTGATGTTTGACTACACCTCCACCTAGGATAATCATACCTGCTCGTTTGGCTCGCACGGCTAAAGTATTTATCTTGCGGATATCTTCAACGAGGTCCACACGAAGTTGAGCCGGAGAAGATTTGAAGGTGTGGAAATAAAGCATATCGCCGAGGGATCCGTCGGTAAGAGCTGGGCAGAAAATAGGGATGTCATTTTTGTAGGCCCAATAAAGTAAGGACTCTTCATTATTGATTTCTTTCCCCAATCTCCTGATAATCTTACTGGGAGTCCAGTGGATGTGATTATCGGTGTCGGGATCTTTCTTCGATTCTTCTTGTTCGGTAAGCATGGTATCGAGAATGGGCATCACCCAGTCTTCGAATGCGCAATAGTTGTTATTGGGGACAATAAGGTTTCCAATACGATTTTGGCCTTTGGCGCGTAAATCTGCTCCAGGAGTAGAAAATGAACCCATGTAGGTGGGACCAAGACACTTGATGATGTCTTCTTCAACGCCGCCGGCAGTGGTGACGATAGCAGAAATGTGGCGGTGTTGAGCAAGGTAGCGGAGAGTGCCCCGAAGTCCACTTGAAATTAAATTGGAAGTATATCCGAGGAAGATAGTGGTACGATCTGAAGTTTCCGGATCACGCCATGCACGCTGGGAATGTTATTTTCGTGTTGCTGATTCAAGAGGAATTACGTACCATGTCATTTATTATTCGAACAGCTTCACCAATGGAGCTTGCTTGGAATCCCATATTGTTCATACCACTTAAAAGATCGTCAACGGTTATAGGACGACCGGCGAACTTGTTGAAGTCGAGTTCTTCAACTTTTTGTGCATTGAGAGGCATTTCGTTTGAGGGGACTAGGACTGCATCCATGACGGAGGATGGAGGTGCTCCATTTTGATTGGATGGTGACGCCATTTTCGCCGAATTTATCTTCTGGATATTCTCTGAGACTAAGATGTAGAATGTATCTGCAAGGTAGCCAAAATCTTTGCCGTGGTTGAAATTCCAAGATGGCACTACCCTTCACGTGATGTAACCACAAACTAATGGAAGCTAATGCAGCGGTAATGGAAGGTGATCGTCCACTTGGGTAAAGTATGTATAAAACACCAAGAAGCGTCTGGTTCGGTTGTAAGTATTGGTATAAAATAGGGGAAGGTAACTGAATTTACCCAAGTGAATGTCTAGGCTTTTCTCAGTACCTATGCAAACCAAAAATTTGATGATGCTTTCAAAGTGGCGGATGTTTCAAAAGTCTAAGCCGAGGTTCATTGGACGTGACCAAGCTTTTCCCAGAAAAGTGAAGATTCTTATAATTCTGTTTAAAAAAATATGTACAGAATAATATATATCATCATTTATCTCTGCCTATCGTAAACTTCAATCAAAAAGTTTTGATGCGAGGAATCCGTCAAAATAAGCGATGTAGTGGGTCTGTGTAGCATTTTGCTTTTGAGGCTCTGCATGCACGTGTCTGCACGAAGGGTCTGTGCGTGCTCGCCGAGCCACATTTTTAATGATTAGGTAATGAAAGCTTTTAGATCTTTGTGGCTTGCACATCGAAGCACGGACTCGTGGCCCCTCTAAAATTTATGGGGTTTTATAGTCCTTGCTAATAGATCGAAGAAATAACACTACTTTTTCAAGACTTATCATTGGTATAAATGATTTGTTTAAACTAATAAAATCTTATATTTAAAATTCTAAAAATTTATTTAATTCATTTAAAGAGGAATATTTTAATTTCTGAGAGAAATCATTATTAAAATTATTATATGTTTAATATCAAAGATTAATATTAAACTTTTGATCCAAGCAGCTTTGCCGTATAGTTTTTTCTAATTTAAAGTGCGCTGACTCAGCATTCGGGAAAATGAAGGGCCAACCAATCACGAAGCCTGAAGGCAACCTTTTTGTCAAATCTAAATCAGAGTTCTGAAGTTCAAGATGCTATGCATTGAATTGTCTAGTCTTTCAATTGAGACATCGAAGAGTTGTCATATTTCGATTTTGATATCGCTTGTTGTGTGAGTGCCTATACTTTAAGGGTTTGAAGACAAGACTAGTCCATGCATGAAGTTAACCTCATCGGGTCGCAGATGCACGTAGCCTCATTTGAACAAGGCCATTTCGAGAACTTCAGAACTTCAGAACTTCAGAACTTCAGATCCTTGATTCAACATCTGCGACGACTCAAAATTTCTAAGCATTCAATTCCGTGTGGCTCTCACCGTCTATATTTACGGTCCACGCTCAGCCTTAATAGTCACTTAAAATCAATACACACCATTTATTCTCCTCCTTTTGTTGACGGTCTAATATCCACTTGGGTTGAAATAGCGCTGGCCCGGCAGAGCGGTACTAGCCATAAGGCTATATTAAATAGTCAATAGGATATAGACTAAGGGACGACGCCAGATCACTAAGAATTGTCACAAATCAGAGTCTTTCGCTCCTACCTCCCTGCGTCATACAATGTTCGTCCCTCTAACACTCTCATTAAACAATTGGCTCTAACATTAAGTCTTTAGGACTCGACCGCATACACAATATGATTCAAATGATGGAAGACGTTCCCCTCGAGATCGTTCTCCTGTAGAGCGGTCTCCAAGACGATATCTCGACAGTCGCGACTCGGATACATACCGAGGTGCTGCGCGTGGAGGAGAAAGGCGACGATCACCATCGAATTCCAGAGCGAATACTGCTGCATTTAACCACAACCAAAATCGAGAACTTTTTTCAGATAGACATATACCTCCGCGGGATACAAATCGAGATACATCCTTACGTGATCCTCCTCGCGGGCCAAGGGCTGGTTCGAAAAGCTATATCGATCCCCCGAGCGGTCCTCGTGGCAATAGTTTTGGCGATGGGTATCGAGGCGATTTCGGATATCGAGGTGAGTTTAGAGGTGGCAGAGGTCGTGGTCGTGGAAGAGGTAGCTGGCGGGATGAAAGCAGAGATCGTGACCGAGATCGGGATCGAGACCGTGGCCGGGAAGTCGAGCGAGAGAGGGACTATAGAGATATGCGAAGAGATACTAGACCCTTGGTTCCGTTTCGCGATGATCGAAGCCGTGATCGAGAATGGGGCGGCCGGGACAGCTTCAAAGGAAGAAGGCCTTCTTCACCTATTGGAAGAGGAAGATCTCCTAATTACAATAGTAGAGATAATCGTGATGCGCCCTCAAGCCTGGATCTAGATCGTGCTAGAAGAGGTTCGCGAGACGCTCCGATGTCTGTTACCTCGCCTTCTTCTGAGTCAGCTCAACCGTTTGTGCATGGCTATGGTAGGGCTAGGGGAAGTGGAATAGGACGTGGACGTGGTAGAACTTATTACGATGAACCCTACCATCGACCTCAAGTCCGTAGTAGGTCTCCAGAGCCAAACTTTCCTCGCAGATCTCAACCTTCAGCTAGTAAGTTCCATGACCTCGATCATTTTCCTTTCTTTTATCCTCGCGTGGTCCTGGTTTCCGTCTACGTACAAGGCACATGCGTGCCTTTCAATGAGACGCTGACTCTACATAGCACCCCCTCCCCAAGTGCCCGCATTTGGATCAACTGGAGCATCAGCCTCGGTCAGCCAAAGTCCTGTCCCAGGGGTATCAGTCCCAACCGCGCCCCGTTTCCATGCCGGCCGTGGAGCTCCAAGTAATCACTACATTTCTGCAAAGTCTACTATGCCACAATCTATTGAGAATCCGCCGTCAGATGCCAGATCGGAAACACAGATTGCTGCAACACCCGAACATAAATTTGATGATGGAGCACGAGTGAATGAACGACGTCGCCAGCGAAAACCCATTTTTGGTAGACGCCCACCCAAGATTCCGATTACTGATGACTATTCCGATTCTGATTTAGATCCCTTCAATGATGATGATCCAGAGGACGAAATCAATTTCGAGAGTGAATTGGCGGAAGTTCAACGTAGTATGAACGATACTCGCAACAGGCCCGACCTGCCTCCACTTGACCAGTTCTTTATTGTTAATTCATTCAAAGATCTACCTCTAGTCCCAGATGCACGAGACGGTTCCGGCGAGTTGAAAGAGTGCATTCCTCCAGAAGGTTTGACTGATAAGCCTGATACAACGATGGAGGGCGCACTGGAGCCCGAGCCTGAGCCTGAACATAACCCCGCATCTCAGCAAGGGCTTGTCGTGGTGCCGGAATTGACACTCAATATAGATCCAGCTGAACGTAAATGTCTTGATAGTGAAAATCCTACTTTTGCTGTGTTGCCACCTGGGACACCATCCGCCCTAGCGACTACTACCGAAGCCAGAGAATCTGAGGGATCGCAACACCCCACGCGCCAGCTTCAAGCGACTGATTCTGAGAAGCTGGCTATGCTCTCCGAAGGTCTCCCAGCACAATCCGCGGCACCTGTCAAAGACTCCAATGTCTTCAATGATGTTATTGCAAAGGATCCCATAACCAATGAAACTCCATCTACGCCAGCAATTCCTCATCACGCATCACCGCCGCCTGCAAGCAGTCAATTGCCTTTGGAAAGCGATTCCCGAATTTCGACCAGGATGGTGGAAAATGGTGGTGACGTTCCACCCCATCACATTACTACAGAACCGGATGTAGTATTTGCCAAAGACCAGTCTATTGAAGAAAGTAGTACCAAAGCTGGTGCTTTTGAAGGAGTTTCTCCAAAAGGTGATGCATCCAAGGATTTTGAAATCCCCGCTATTCAACCTGCCACAATCGATCCTGCAGACATCCAGCCTTCTATAACCAAGTCATCACTACTTCAGAGCACTGGACTTGAGACTAGCGATTCCCAAAAATTCAATCAAGATACTACTAGCTTAGAGCCTCAATCCCTTGGCGTGGAGATTTCAGATTTAGAGAGACCAGCCCAGTCACTGGAAGACCATTCGAAGCATATTTTGGAACCTCATGTAGAGGGGACGATCGTGGGAACTCATGCAGATTCACCACTGCCCGTGTCAGACGGAGCATCCAAGTTTGATTCTGAGAAGGTTGAGATATCGGAACCCAAACCCCTGCGTAATCATCCACCATCTATCGACCCTATCGATACCGAGATTTTGCCAGACGCTCAAGCATTTGAAGATGATTCCTTGATTAGCCCAAGAACTACAGGCCCCGTTCCAAGATTGGTGCCTGAAGATACGATTGACGATCATCAGATGGAAGGTGTAGTCCCAGAGGCATGCGGAGGGGATCGATCTATGAATTTGGATATTGGTAATGATAACGTTGCGCATTCCGAAGGGGGGGTCTACCATAGTCGAGGAGAATTAGCCGAAGCTTTTGATTATGTACGACAACAGATATCGTCACCAGTACCACAAGCACCAGAACTTACTATGGAAGTTCCCGAAGAAAGTGATGATGACGAAGATGAAGCTGAACAGGCCGGATTCGAACTTCTCCGTCAAAAACTTGTTCAACAAGAAGCTGCTCTTGAAGAGGATCGCCAGTTTAAACTTCTTGAATCTGTTAAGCACCCCAGGGATACGAAGACACCTCCTCCAGAAACCTTACCTATATTTGATTATAACAAATGGGATGAGGATCCCGAGTTTTTGAACTCCCTCGAAGTTGATGCAAATGCTGAATCTTCTCTTACGAGACTTATAGAGGAAAAAATGGCGCAAAGATGGACGGAACAACAAGAAGAGGGCAAATCGTGGTCGGAGAGTTATATCGAGTACCGTAGGTTTACTGATATGGATATGGATCCAATCGCTGTGCGCAGTAGAGAAATATTTAGTAAGGCCCAGAAAGGAGAGGCTGAAGAATTGGCCGAAAGAGGCAAATCGGCGACTGGCTTAGATCTCAAAGCAGAGGGCCAGCGTCGCACTGGGAGTAGGTTTGCGACGGATCATGATATTGAACGTGTGCTTCGTGAATCTGAGCGTGAAGCTAAAGAATCGAAAGAGCAGCAAGAACAAGATGCCAGGGAAGAGACGGCAAATACCAAGGAAGCGACTATCCCGGACATGTGTTGGGATGAAGAATATAAGGAAAGTATGTTTTTGGATACTACACACAGGGTTCCTTTTGAACGATCGTTCCGTATGCTCGAGTTTGGAGAGTCCATAGATAATTTTACGGAGGAAGAGGCTCAGATTTTCCAAGAAAAGTATCACAATTTCGCCAAGCAGTTTTCTATTATTGCACAATCCCTTCCGCATCGCGATTACCAGGCCTGCATTCAACACTATTATATTGTCAAAACAACAGATGAGTGGAAGGCAGTTTTCAAGTCGAAAAAGAACCAAGTTAAAACCGGCAGAAGGAAAGGAGCGAAAAAATCTAGCGCCCTCATTACCAATATTGAGAACGGAGGTGGTAATGAAACAGAGGCCACGCCAGATGTGGAGAATGGAAATGAACGTCGTCGACCTAGGAGAGCTGCTGCTCCAACTTGGAATTTTGAAGCACCACCGCCTACCACAGACAACGAAGGTGCTAGCCCGGCACCAACCCCGGCGAAGAAAGTCGCTACTCCGAAAGGAGACACAAATGGCGAATCAGCGCCAACCAAGAGAAAGGCCAAAACTCCTCGAGAAAAGGCTCCAAAGCAGCCCAAGGCCGGTCAACTTTTAGCGGCTGCCCCTTCTCCTGCGAGTCGTAATGGTGAATCGCCAAATCCTCCTTCGTCAACTGCTGCGCCAGAGCCAACACCGATCAGGCCTCCCGTTGCCACCACTCGCTACGCTCCATACGATGCTCTTATTCCTCACCAGATCCCAACATTTCCACCTCAATTTTTGCCACCTGAGGGACCTGTACCAACTAATCTAGAGGTGCCAGTTGCACCTGAACGCATTGGCTCTGCCCCTCCAACAGGTGGCGAGTCCCAGCCTGATCGTCGTTCCGCTGTTCAACAACAAACTTCTAGCTACTGGAGTGTCCCGGAAGTGGGTGATTTTCCTGGACTCCTACGACACTTTGGCACAAATTGGGCTGGAATTGCAAAACATATGGGAACAAAAACGCATACCATGGTATATAAAACAACTTTTTCCGATTGGCTTGAGATCACGAAAGGCCAAACTGGCCGTAAGCGTCAGGCTAACATTGCTGAACAGGTTAAGAACTACTATCAGCGCTCTGTCGATTCCGGGAGCAAGAAAGAATGGGAGCAGATCACTCGAGAGGCTGATTCGAAACGTGACAGAGGTGAATCCACTGGACCAGCGCCCACTCCTTCTGCTCCAACAAAGCGACGATATGATCCCACGCCTGCACCACTATCGAGATCAGCATCTGCCATGGATATAGATGAATTTTCTGCTAGTCAACCTATCATTCTCCCTCAAACATCCCCTCCCCAATCCACATTGAGTACCAGGTTCCCTGCCTTGGCTCAAGCAGGACCTGTCCCTCAATCAATGAATCAAACGATCACTCCTAGTTCCTTACCTTCCAAACGTTCACATCATCAAGCTAACCAACAGAGCTTATCTCAAATATCACAGCAACAGCAACAGCAGCAACCGGCGTCAGCACCACCATCAATAATAACCACCTCTCAGTTACAATCACAACCACAACAAATGCAAAGCCAACAAGTTAGACAACCGAGGGGTCCGTCCATGGGGTTCTTCACTACTGATAACCAACGCTCCACACCACAGTCTACTCTTTCCCAGCAGTCTCAAAATGCTTCGCCAATTTCAGATCCAGCCACTATTGCCTCTCAACGATCCGCTCGGGTCGCTGCCGAGGAAGCTTTTCTCGAAAGACAGAAGGCTTTGGAACAAGAGAGAATACGAATCTCGCAGGAACAACAACAAGCCACGGACCGGCTTGCTTTACAAGAGCAGGCCGCCCTTCGAGAGCAGGCGATTCGAGAGCAGGCCCTTCGAGACCAAGCCCTCTTGCGTGAACAGGCTCGTGAGCAGGCTTTGTTGCGGGAGCAGGCCCTATTGCGAGAGCAGGCTTTGTTGCGAGAGCAGACCGTCCGAGAGCAGCAAGCTTACCAACGACGAGAGCAAATTAGAGAAATGGAAACACTTACAGAACATCAACGACAGCAGCAGCAGCAGCAGCAGCGAAGGGAAAGAGAATCAAAGCAAGAACAACTCGAGCGAAACTTGAAGAGAAAACAGGAACGTGATCACGAGCAAAGAGAACAACAAGATCGAAAAGAAAAGCGAGAACAACGAAATTTTCAATTGAAGCAAGAGGAGGCTGAGGTACGGAACTCACAGCAGTATGAATATCCCGCGCACTCTAGCCGTACAGGATCAATGGCGCCTTCAAGGGCTGAAGCTCCATATGTGGCAGTCTCCACAACGGATGTTCGAAGGCAAGCTCCACCCTCAGTCCCACACCAACAATATCCTGCGCGAAGCCAAGGCGTTCGAAGTTTGCTTAGTGATGGTATGGGTGTTCCTCAAAACATGATTCAATCTACATCTCCAGCTTTCGGCCGACCAGGCATTAGTACCCCACCTATCCAAGAGCAGTATTCAACACCGCCCCCTCAATCAGCCGCTGTTACCGCCATCCGCCAACAAGATACACCAAGGAAGACATCCAATATCATGTCATTGTTGAACGATGAAACCAATGAACCTACCAGAGCTCCACCGCCCCCAGCACAATTACAATCTAAGAGAGGTGGTGGTACCCCAGCAGTTCCTGTGCAAAGTTCTCGAACCCCCCCACCTCCTCAACATGCTTTGCAGACATCGCGTTATTCATCACATTCATCACACCCATCACAAAGTTTACAACAGCCACAACAGATGCCTCAGCAGATGCAACAGAACCAGCAAATGCAACAGAACCAGCAAATGCAACAGGTTTCACATCAGATACCTCCTCAAACAAATCCACAGCACGGATATTCCCAATCATCTTCTCAATCCATGCATCAACATTCATCTTCAGTAGGCCGCAGTTACACACCAACACCTTACGAAAGCAGGAGCCATGCGCCCCCACCCGCTGTCCAGCATCACCCGATATATTCTCAACCCTCTCGCCAAGCAATTGCTTCGCAGTCTTCATCCATTCGTCGAGAGCCTCTAAACGAAATGAATGCTCCTAGTGGGTATGCACGAAGTCCAATTACAAAACTCAATGAATCACCCTACTCTGCGACCCCCCCTCCTGGCCAACAGATGACACGTCAGACGATGTCATCTCCTCATGACCTTCCTCAAACGTCTGATCGTGATATTTACAGTCGCCAATCACAGTTCGCTGTGCCACAGCAGCCAAATACAGCGGTAGACTTCCACGCAGCACCCCAAGTGGGAGCAGGCCATCGATCGATGGCCTTCGGTCAAAGTGGTCACAGAACTCCACCGGCACGCAGTCAATGGATCCAAGCTCATCAAGTGGGTCATCATGTGCACAATTCAAGGCAAAACAGCTTCGAAGCCCGGAACTATAATACTGTTTCGTCTGCATCAGCTCCGGCACAACAAAATTATGCCCAGCAACCTTCTCATCACATGCAATATCAACAACATCAACCCCAAGAGCGTTTTGATCATCATTATGAGCGAGAACAGCGTGAGAGAGAACAGCGAGAGCGAGAGAGGCAAGATAGGGATAGGGAACAATATTACCGAAGTCGGGAAGACCAACGAGATCCACGGCGGTAGACATGTCGACTTGTCATGTTGGTGACCGGAATAGTTGTTTCTTTCCCCAGATGATCAAGGACTGATGTGGGTTGGATGTGGAAAGCTCCAAGAGTATGACCAGTATGCATATTCTATGTATGAAATTAAAGATTAATAACTACTATCATGCTGTCTTTATCGTTTCAATAGCGATACTCCGTGTCCTTCGACCCCTCATCTTTCTCTACATCCCCTATTAAATTTCTTCTACATGGACACTTGTCTTGCCCTTCAAAAACAGTGGTTTAGGCGATTACCCATTAAACTCCCACAATACGTCTTTTTTGAACTTCATGATGGCGAGGAAGGAAAATGCAAGATGGTCGAGAATTTTGGCGTGTGGAATGTACCTACTGTCAAGCTTCTAGCCGTTGCTACCCAGAAGCAATTTAAGGGAAAGATAGCAGTTAGATGGCATGGTGCCGTTCATTTGGGTACGATGGATCGAAAATAGGGAAACTTTAATAGTATAATGATGAGTCAAGAATAACTAAGGGCATAAAGTACCTTATTAGCACTTTGTATCTCCTAATATTGTCATCACATGTGTTGGTCATTGGGAAGCTTAAGGTCGACCTCAGATTAGTACCAGATCTTCTTCTCCATTACCTCGCTCCTGCTAAGCTTTATCTTTTTCACAGTATCTTCACTTATCTCATACCCCTTTTTGGTCTCTTGTTTCCTGATTTTGTGATAAGATATGGTAAGGCTCTTACTTGCAGAATTCAGAATGGATTAAGGAGAGATTTGCATGTTCAACTTAAAAGCAAGATAATTCTATCACCATTTCAGAAAAAACCATTCTACCTCTTGTATCTCTGCTTTTTCTACACTTTTGCTTTATCTTGTTATCTGTCTTGAGACCTCAACCTTGGATACATACCGACTGAACTGTGATGCCCGGCTTGCTTACTTTGGAATAGATTTGGTTTCAATTAGGAGGGGATTCCTTTTAGTTTCATTTTACTTATCCAAATCTGATCAGAGGATAACAAGTATTTCTTTTGTTATCGCGGGGCACAGATAGAATCTTTTAATCACCTGCATTCAAATTGAATATGGTAGAATTTGTTCACTAACTATTTCGAGCACCTCTCCTCGGCTAATCCTTCTTATAAACCTAATATCATACAGTTTAATTACAAAAACTTACCACCTCAGAATCCTCAAAACTTTGTTCTGTTGTCCAAAATGATTTCTTCCATATCTGTGTTTAAAAAGAAGAGGTCTAAAAGAGACTCTACAACTAATACAAATTACAGTTTAGTTCTAGGATATCCATCAGGAGCAGAAAGACTTCGTCAACACAATGGATTTTTCCAAAAAGTCAAGGCCATTGCAAAAGAAGTATTTCCTAAAGATTCCACGTTTTTAGCTGGAAATGATTTGAGTGTAGCTAGTACGTATAGCAAAGGGCAAATCAATGGAGCAGATGTCGAAGTTGTCCAGTCATGGGATGAAAACGGAAGGACATTTGCTAGATTTGAAGACTTGCCAATGGAACTTAGGGTACACATATCATTTTCTTTATCTACTATACTCTATTGCAACTCTTCCCCTAATGCGTATCTAATCCTAAATTATGCCTAGCTGATGAGTCTCTCTCCAATAGCTTGTCATTTTGGAATTGTATCTCGAAAAATCACGCATTACAACACTGAACTTTGTCCCATCTGACCTTCTACGGTATGACCACATGTTTGGAAGAAGTTTTCGTCTTACCTGCGGCTCTATTCCCCCAATTCTATGTCTCAATCATCAATATCGGGCTACCTTTCTTGAAAGATTTACCAAGCCAGGAATGACCAGATCACAGACCACTTTGAGCATTGAAGATGCCTTGCAACAACTTACTGATGAGGAACGTTGCACTACCTTGCAAGATTCGCTCAATGATGGATCACGCAGTGCCTTTCCCGTGTATGCGACCCACACGGGTAGAAACATCATTTTCAACCCTAACGATACTATATGGATCCAAGGGGACTTCTGGCTCGATGAACTACGCCGGTCAACAATTTCTCGCTCTGCTTTCTATCGATTGCGCCATCTTGCGATACCATACAAGACGCGCAGAAAATCGCTCTTTGAAGTCGGAGACATGCTAGACTTTGTGAATTGCATCATCACCACCTTTCCAGAACTCAAGACCATCGCCTTGGTATTAGGTGCCGAAGAAGTAATACCAGAACGACCTGTTTACAACGGTGAGATTACCTTTACCACTCCGGAGAAAGTCAAAATCGTCGTAGATGTTCCCGTTGAAACTCCTCTTACATCGCGAAAAAGCCTCTCTCGAATCTGGAAACAGGCACTACGCAAATCAGCACCTTTGCCACAAATTCAAACTCAAGTTGAACACTGGTCTGCCAAGAGACTGGGATTAGATGCGTTTCGCATGCTCGATTTTATCAAAGAGCGTGCGATAGAAAGGGGTAATCGTGGTTGTGAGTATTTTGCTTCAAATTTGACACATGTTCAACATAGATTTCTTCTTCTGGTCATCTAACTAACAGATACGTGTATAAGTAGTTTCTATTTTTCCTTGGACGGTCGCCGACGAGGTAGATATATGGGAGATACCGGTGGTTACTGTCGTCACTGCAAGTCTTAGTACGGCGTCCAAAAGTCGAAGTATACCAGAGCCTACTATCAGATTAGAAGAGTGGTAGATCGTGGAAAAATGAGCAATTGAGAATGGAGCTGTCTTGAGGGAGGGAATGTTCAAGTTGTGAAAATTTGTTTCATATTACGTATGGAGGGAAAATGGTACATTGGTCTGTATTCACATCTACATAAGCTTTTGTATTCAAATGACGGTTTTTTTTTGTATTAGAGGAAGGGGAGATGGATATTTACGTCTACGAGACATTTTGCACAATTATGATTCTTCACCCATTGCATTTATTTCTATGTCAATAACAAATATACTTCGTGCATGGTAGCATAGCTTCGAAAAACCTGACTTGCTACCAAGCATCCCAGGGTACCGGACGTCCTTAACAATAAGCAACATTTGACATTTACTTCATACCGAATATGCTGTGCTTCTTCCATTCCTGTTATCCTCAAAAGCTACTCTTCTCTCACCTCAATTGGCGTAACACGTGCACGACCTGTCAACTCTGCCACGCCTATCGCCACCGATTCTCCTTGCTTGTATTCCATATCCAAATTTGAACCAACACATATTGAGCCAGGCGGTGGCTTTTATCCATATATCGTCAATAGAATGCAAGTTGAAGTCCACTCTTACAACTTTGGTATTTTAAGTTCCACAGATGTGAGACTCAATCAAAGTAAACTTGAATCGATCTCCTCTTCTATGCAGGACCTGTGACACTTATCTCTTGAAGGTAGTTGCAACTTTGAAGGAGAATAGCTCGATACTAGACTCTTTTTGTGAAGAGAAAAAAGAGCTGGCTGGCTCTCCTTTTCTTTAGGCTGCTCCTTCAGGATCACAGATATCTCAATTGGCAGATCTACAAGGGCAGAGAGTTCTCCTGCATCGATAATTTGTCTCATTATTCGTCGTCGTGTTTTCCTTTGAACCATCTTTCTCAAGGCTGTAAAATCTAGTATCTATCACGTCCTGTGGTCCTTCGCAGGTAATCTTACCTCCAAACCTTCATTCAGCCGTGCCTTATGCTGCTAAATAATTTATAACAGCAACTTTGCCGGTCTTGAAAGTTGGCTATTGAGCCTTATTCCATTCTGGTCGGTTTCATTTTCCTCTCAATACAATTTAACTTACCATTGTCTTTATTAGATCCAAGCAAAATTGCGGTGTTGGTCATGGAGAATAAAGAAAACTAATACATGTATATATGTATATACGTATGGCTGTAAAAATGGCTAATCGTCCAAATAGTACATTCTTCCGATACTCATCTAGAGGGATGCAAGTATGAATAATCACACCAACAACGCATGTAGGTTTCCACCCGTCAAAAAATCCTCAACTCTTCGGATACTGATACAATCTTCGCTCCTTAACGATGATGTACAATATTATACTTTTCTCCGCTATTGAAAGACCTAAATTCGTTGCTATGTAAGAATAATCGGTCGATCTTCCTAAAAAAAGCACCACGAATAAAAGAGAAAAACATAATGAACTATTATCCTACGCAGTACTTTATACGAATTAAAAGCAGAACAAACTGTATAGCTAGACTGGACCGAGTATACCAACGACAGTAAAGCTACAAACACAAGTAGACTTTCAGCTCATGCCGACTCCTAGGATACCACAACTGCAGTTGAATATTTCCATCCACGTCTCGAAAGACTGCTCTGAGTGTATTGCTATCGCCGAAGAACACAATTGAATATATCGGTTTAGACGAATCTAAGTCTAGATGTCGACACAATCGTTCCTGCCGCCTTGTAATACCATATTTATTACGCTGGATTCCGCACTGTCCCTCTTGCAAAGGAGTTTACTCAAAAGCCAGACTCTGCAAACGTTAAGAATCTGCTGCGGAAATGGCCCATTTCCACACCTTATTCCAAGTAGTTCGACTCAAGATCCCGCAAATAATATCCATCTCCGATTTTCGACTTTTGCGAAACCTGATTCCTTAATTTCTGGTCTATTACTTACTTGTCTTGAATAACGACTCTGTTCCTGAACCTACACATCATTACGACTTGTGATAGACACCGATAAGGAAGAGACTAAGATCTGGCAAATAATTAAACAAGAGAAGTAAAGCACCTTGCCCTTTCTCTCTCGAATGCTCACTCCCCAGATTCAAGGAAAATCTAGAACACCGCACTTCCAAACAACCATTCCGTCTACTTCTCCTCGCCGTTCTACAAAAATACGCAACAAACCTTCCACAGGACCTTCTGATATTCAAACAAATCTCGACATGGCCACTAGCTCGGAAATCCCGTCCCGCACTTCGGAAAATATCAATGCTATCCATCTGCCGGATTTACTGGTCGTACAACCGAGGATAATTCAGGATATTAAATATTCTTCCACGACTACAGTAGAGCGACCGTTTTCGAGCTTGACAGCTGCTGTTTTAGTTAATAGCTGCTGTACATGGCTAGTAGTCTGGCTAAAGCTAGGAGACACTATCAATCTGAGGATAACCGTATACGATATCTGGTATGATAAGTAATAAGTGGGCATACCTCAATGAGGGAGGAGATTGTAATGGTTGTGTTACATCTGTTATCTTGTTGGATATATGTGTGATGGAGTTTTTGTCGTGTTCTGGAGCCGGAAGGTAAGGTGGTAGACTGAGCTGACTCGCTGATACTACGTAACGCGGTAGTCGGCATAAAAGTGGAGTAATTAGGGATTTATTCTGCGGGGTTTTGGGGTACCATTGCTGCGATGGATGTGTGAAGAGATTGTTCGACGAAAAGGGATGGAGGTAAAGACTGAGCTTTTGTGGAGGTTAAGAATGTTTTGTGAGGAAGTTTCTTGGTCGCAAGAATGATAATAGCAATGGCCTCGGAGTAAAATTTGCATAAAGTCACAAACGGTTGGAATGCCTGGTTCGAGTTTAAGGGAACATAAGCGAGCTCAATGAATATGAAGAAATAACATTCAGAAAGTTCGTAATCGCGGGGTTGAATGGTGTATATATGCCTTGTCGCTGAAATATAAAAAATAAAAAACTTGTGTCACGGTAGTCACCCTCACCAAACAAACCTTCAAATGCAGCAGCCACAGAAAAATGTAATGTAAAGTCCTCTGTTCCGAAATCAAGAACTGTATTTGAGACAAAATCAAATCATATCCCCTGCTTTGCATAGTGGATATTTCTCCAGGAAATAGAAATAAACACGCCGAGACATTTCAGTGTTTTTTCAACCAGAACTAACAGAGAAAAGCAGCTCTTCGAAGTAGAAATCTATACAGCAGCCAGACCTCCACTCCTTTCCCCATACCCGAAGTCTGTCTTCACCTGAAAGTTATCGAAACTGGATGTATATGTTAGTTCAATCAAAAGCTGATGCGTCAAATGGAACTTACGATTGATATCGAACACTTTAACCCTTAATGAGCATTTGATCCGGAAGATTGACCTTCGTACCACCAAGCCAAGTAGAAGGTAAAATGAGCGGAAACTGCAATAAATCACCAAACTGATATACATAATTCTCATATTGACCGAGAGTAGTCTTCTTATCGCACATATCTTGAGCGTGTTGCTCTGCAGTGTCGCGGACCAAGAAGTTACTGCTAGCATAGCTGAGACATGCGATGCAGCTAGCTGTTTCATTGACAATTTGATTGTTGCAGAGACATTGAGCGACTACACTATTGCGAGCTTCGGGATCGGTATTTTGACCTTGGAGCGTGGATACTTGACAGGATTGCCATGCTTCGCGTGCGTTGATGCAAGGAAAATCATCTGTGTTATCAGTCGGTTAGAGGTCAAGGAGGTAAGAGATTTAAATGATAGGGGCAGTAACGCGTTACTCACTGTAGCAGTACTGAACAGCAACATCAGTAGGTTTACCCCATAAGCCAACGACATTTTGTCTTGGTTCAAGTGGGGCAGCTGCAGTTAGGGTAGCAGCAAGTGCAGAGATAAACAAAACGACCTTCATATTGATGTTACGAAAGTAAACGAGACCTGTAGATGAAAGTATGCAAGACTCTCGTGAGGTAGTTGTGTTTATTCTTTGATATAGTCAAGTCCAGTTGCTCGAGAAACTCAAGGCGATTTTATGGGGAGGGAAGCCTTTTAAAGTAGGTATATAAACTGTGGTACAGCTGCTAATTTAATATTGGGTATTGAATATTGAATATTAAGGTCATTTGGGTATGATGTTGCAGTGAATGATAGATGAGGTGCCGGCCAGGGATAAATCCGTCACCTGGTGTAGAACCTTGAACCAGCATTGACCGAGGCATTGACCACTCATTTTCTGCCACCGTATCATTTGAAATGAAGCTATGCATAGTTAGGTAGGTGCAAATGACTGTAAAATGCTGATAGGAATACAGATAACATCAGCTGCATGTTCTATTATCATGTCCGAGGCCTGGGAAAATATGTAAGACTTGCTCACTTGGGCTTGGTGAGCCTTCTATGAGTATCAACAATGGAATTGTCTCGCTGAACTACTCAAACTGCAAATTTGAGTGTAAATCCATTCTTCCGAGTTAGATGCACATGCAAGGAATGCGAAATGCACACGATCTGCTCTAGCAGGATAATTTTAATTCAATTGGGCTGCTAATAAAACGGCAGAATCTGCTATGACAAAATTCTAGCTCAGTAAATGAGTAGATGACATCATTAAAAAATGCTCCTCACAGCCATGGTGAATTTACATCCGCTTTAGTTGCAATCTTGAAAATCTAATAGATCGTGCGTTCCATTCACAATCAAGATTCGAAGCTTAGAGAAAAAGATAGAATAATAAAGATTAGAACCAACATACACAATCTATCTCATTCCAAATTAATCATAATGAAAGGACGGTTATGATGATATTGAAAGCTTCAAAAGAAGGATGCTTATGGGCGCACATATTTTCCACCAAGACATCTGATGAAGGCAGAACTTCATCATGAGAGGGTCTCCAACCGGAGCACATTCAACAAAATAAATCTCCTTCAAGCTCCAAGCTCCAAGCTTTTATTTTGGAATGCTATACACTTCGAACATCACATTAGACGCCTTCCAACCCTACGATAACTGGAATTTTTCAAGCCACTAGATATTCACACTAGACAGAAGCTATGATTATGATATGTCCACTAGAACGCGGTAGATGGCTTGTTTAATAGTCTAGACAATTTTCAAGCGCGGAAATTTGAAATGTGGAGTAAATTTGACGGGGCAAATTCACGTGAGGTGATACAACCTACAAGTTTAATCACAAATTCAGGCAGCCCAGTTTGAGTAGCATATATGGAATTAAAAATTAGTCGTCCCTTAGCTCAATGGGCCCACTCAATATTCAACTTCGCTTTTGATGTAAAAGAAGTTGTGAATAAAGCTCAATGCGTAGCATCCCCGACGTCGCCGGCCTTGGATATCCTCGTCCAGGAGGTCCGAAATTTTAAGGATGGGAGAAATACATCGCGACTGATGTGCAATAGATATTCTCTATACATCAGTGGGATATTCTTGTTGGATAATGATGTCTCTGTGATCGCCAAAAGTTCCACCACCCTGAATGGCCTCCTCATCAACGTCTTTCTCCCATGGCTTACGGCGCTTTCGTGCAAGTGGCTTGGTACCCTGATCCGTAAGAACTGTATCAGGAATATCACGGATGCCCGGGATTGTACCACCGGCTGTGATCAAAGCGACGATCTCAGCAAAAGATTGAGGGTATGGTGCAGTCTTTTGATCATCTGTGGTACTAGCAGGGGGTAGGTCATTTTCATGATGGGGATGTGAAGTGTTGGAGGATAGAGTAGGATCCGAGGGTATGGTGGTGGTCGCAGCAACATCAGTAGAGGAAGGCGGGGATGGATGGGTGGCAAGATATGCTTTATATTCATCAAAATCGATGTTAATTTTCTTCTTTCGAGAAAGATAGAAGCATTGAGCCCGAAGTGTCAATTCTCGAATTTGTTCAGGAGAAGACGCATTGCCCAGTATAGCAGAAAGACCCCCCTGTTGATTGTCAGTACATGAACTTATGAAGATATCAAGCTTGGAACAAGTTACTGCAGACAAAACAATGAGGAGCGACATTGAGCTACAACATTACCGAGGCTGATAACTGAAGGAAGAATTCAAAAGAGCCGCTTACCTGGAACTCATTATCAGTACTCCATGGATATGATTGGAGATCCTTATAAATGTTGGCGTCACTATTTCCCGACTGATCTGATGTTTCAGTCGCCATTATGGGAGAATGATATTGAAATGGTGATAGGGGAGGGTAGAAAGAAGAGAGAATACGGCAATCACTATCTGAGGAAGTTAATTATATGATGGCTGGGTTGTTGTAAGGCTGAGGGAATCCTTAGATGGTGGGGTGTTGCCAAGAGGAGGACACGTGATTACGTAATATTTCACTAAGATCAACCGTAGTGAAATTAAAGGTGTTAATAGTATCCCCTAGCTTCTTCATTGTCCAATCAGATTATATAATCTTGTCAAAAGTCGACGCTTTTGATGCGGGTCCCATACCGCAACAAGACAAGTGCAAGCGAGCGCTTCCTTGCCGCACCTTTAGCTTAGCTTTTCGCCAGAATAACACTCATGCCCTCCACAAAAGTACACACCAACACCAACATTAACAACTATCACAACTCTTACGACTCTCACATCTCTCCCAAGCACACCGACATCAATTGCACGATTTTCAATAACTTACTTCTTTCTTTTGATTTACTCATTTCTTTACCCTACAGCTAGCTGTGAGCTGATCGCAGTGTAATAAGCATGTCGGAATTCATAGGGTGAGTCTCCAAAACGCTGAAACTGAAGCACTTGTCTTCAACTTCCTACAATGCATGCTGACCATGGCGCGTTTATAGTTCGAGGATATCCTTGGTATCAAGGAGTGATATTAGGTATTTCTTATAGTTGAGATATATTTGGCCGAATATTGACGCGGGTTAAGATATGTCGGTACACTCCATGAGATCAATTCGGAAAACTCAACAGTAGCCTTGGAAAATGTCAAATCTCATGGAACAGAAGGACGCAAGAACAACCCGGATGATGAGATTCCACCTTCGGATAGTGTTTACGAGTACATCGTCTTCCGTGGTAGTGATGTGAAGGATCTGCGAATTGAGGAAGCACCTGCACCCAAGGAAAACAAGCCCCCGCAGGTACCTAATGATCCTGCAATTCTAGGAGTAAGTGCGATTTTCTCGATAAACCAGCACCCGCTGGCTTTCTGCTACTGCCATATATCAACCTTGTTTTAAATGATGAAATATTTCGGATGTTAAATCATATTGTCTCCGAGAGCGCAAAACCGTGTGGAGATTTTCCGTTGCCTTCCTTCTGATTCAGATAGCTCAATCATATATTTGCATTGAATGTATACAGCAAGGTTACTAACAAGACTCTTCTTTACAGAGCGGAACTCGTCCAGCCCCCTCCGCACAAGGACCCCCGACTCCTCAAAACCAAAATCCACGAGGACCTCCACCGCAAGGACAAAATGGTCCCCAACAGCAAGGACCGCCTCCTGGAATGGCTCCTTTCGGGCAATACCCGCCTCCTGGATTTTATCCTCCTCCGCCTGCAGGATGGGGCCGCGGAGGTCCTCCTGGTCCAGGTTTTCCAGGAATGCCACCATTTGGCGCCCCGCCAGGTTGGTATCCCCCACCTGGACACGGATTTCCACAACATCCTGGACAATTTCCCCCTCCTCCTGGCTATGGCTTTCCACCACCAAATCAACAATTTCAGCCACAAAACCAGCAACAAAAGCCATCGCCAATTGGACCTGGCGCGAACAAACAACAAACCCCTACTTCCGCAAACTCTACAGACAAACCAGCTGACGCACAAGCTCCTGGTGCTGCCAGCACTGCTGCACCAGCTGCAAAACAAGCAACCCCACCTCCTTCTAAGGCTTCCCCAACTGAAGCGGAGGCCTCCGCTACGAAACCATCCCAACCTGCAGCCGCACTCGCTGCGCGAGCCACTCCAAGTGGACCTAAGAGCGGTCGTATCCAACCTGCAATGCCATTAGCTAGTCCTGCAGTAACTAAGGCTCCATTGCAAAATACCACTGCCCCTGCCGTGCCAAAACAAAGCGACGCTGCCGCAAGCTTGAGAGATGCCACACAAGCTGCGACTGCTGCCGTTGCTGCTGCAATGGCTAAACTCCCTCCAGTTGGAGGTCAACAGACCAATGGAAGCGCAGTTGACAACTTGACAAGAAAGGTGAACGAAATGCGAACAACCGATCCTGTTCGGGCTCCTAGACAACCAGGTAACAATGGATTTGCGGCAAGAGGTAGAGGTCGAGGTGGCCGAGCTTCCGGTCCAGCTAAAGTTGATGTTCCCGAGGCCGATTTCGATTTCGAGACTGCAAATGCAAAATTCAACAAACAAGATTTGGTCAAGGAGGCTATTGCTGGATCTCCACTTGGGGAGCAGCCTCCAAATACTTCAACCGCACCCGAAGCTGAGATGGAAGAAACAGTGCCTAAGGCATACAATAAAGCCACATCATTCTTTGACAACATTTCAAGCGAGGCAAAGGATCGTACAGAAGCTGCTGGAAACAGACCTGGCGGACGTGAGTGGCGAGGTGAAGAACAAAAGAAGAATGTCGAGACCTTTGGACAGGGAAGTGTTGATAATGGTGGTTATCGCGGAGGATATCGCGGCCGAGGCCGTGGCCGTGGGGGCTACAGAGGAAGAGGTGGCTATGGTGGTAATGGACAGCCTACACGTGGCCGCGGTGGAGGATATCGAGGTCGTGGCGATGCCCAAACCCTGGTACAATAAATCATACTGAGTCAATGGTCGAAATTTGCTGGGTCAGGATAGGTTCTCTCTGCTCTGTATCAAAATATTTGCGACAAATTTCTGGGTTTCGGATAGGAACAGCAATGGAGTGCAATCTCAAGGTAAGAGGGTCTCAGAGAGTTTCCCTTAGCAGGTTGTGGAGAGTGAGGGTTTCTTTGCGCACATTCACGGTAGTTTTCTTTAAATCAAACATGTATCACCAGGGAGGTCTCGTGAGCGAGGCCATGACATCAGTGGACATTCTTTGGTTTGGGTGGAGCTGGAGTATGAAGCGATCTTATTCCGAATGAATGGAGTAGGGGGTTTTATTGACAAAGACAAGAAGGTTTCCTTTGATATCAGAAACCTGTATGTACTGCGGGGAGTTGGGTTAGGTGTCAACGATGAGACGAAATAAACGGCTAGCTGGAGAGAGTTGATATTGCTTGAGTGAAGATTGTCATTCGTCCTCATTTTGAAGATGCTATGGACTTTGTCAATGCGGAAGATATTCCAGATAAATCAGATGAATATGAACAATTAAACGAGAAAACTTGGAAATGGGTTTGATGGCCAGTGGAAGGTGCATAACTAAACATTGCAGTTTAACACCCTTCAGAAATATTAAATAGCCATCAAACCAAGACTGGTTTGTATGTTATGGTTTCATGAAGTGTGTAAATTGGACTTTGGTTGAGCAGTTAAAGAGGTGTATTTATTCTCTTAACTTTGCCAGTGAACCTATCAACTCCCGGCGCCAATATGTGCATTGCTAATACCCAGTCATGTACTCGGCCATTTATCCAGTCGTAGGATTGCCCATTCATTTATTGTACATGTATATATAACCTCATATTCTCATCTATCCCGTCGTCTCATCTCACAGCAAACAGCATAACTCATCTCAAGAAGAACAACTACACTGCATTGCCCTACCCGGCCTCGGAACATCCCCACACCACCTCTCCTCTTCCTCTTGATCCCCATCCCAACTCTCTCTAAAAGGGTCACTGACCATCTTCATGACTCTATTCAAAACATCTCTCTCGCCCCCCTTCTCAACCCTCTTGATAATCTCATCCAAAACCCATCCTTTGGGTATAAATTTCGGATTTACTTTTTTCATTTCCGACATGCGATTTTCGTCATCGCCATCTGGTCCCCAATCTTCGTATATTCTTGCTTGCCACTTATCGAGCCAGTTGGTTAGGCGAGTGGTGGCTGACTCGAGGGTATTGTTTAGACCGGTTACGCCTTCTTGGTGGAAGAATTTGGTTGAGATTTCTTTTCGGGAGGTGGTGGTGGCGAGGGAGGAAATAGGAATGGAGGAGAGTTTACGGAAGAATTGGTTGAAATCTAGTTCTAGGCTTTCCATTGTATCGAGGAGTTCGCTGAATAGGGTTTCGAAATCTGATTCTTTGAAGGTTTTGAGTCCGAGACGCGCCGTCATGAGACGCTTGTATTCCGCTAGGAAAGTGGCTTTGTATTCTTCGCCAATGCGGGTTATGAGGGCTTCTGCACGAGCGACAAGTTCGTCGGCGGCTTCCTGGCGGACACCTTTTTCGATAAATTCTTCGGCATCGACATCTCCACCGGCTCCCATGAGCTCACCGAGGGATTCTCCGAGACGGACCAAATTCCACCAGATTATGGTTGGTTGATTACGATAGGAGTAGCGTAGCATATAATCATCATGGTTGGGTGTGTAGCTAGGATCGAAGTTGTCGAGGAACGCAAATGGTCCGAAGTCTATGGATAAACCAAAGATGGATGTATTGTCCGTATTGAGTACACCATTTGTAAAGGCATATGCTTGCCATGCTGCAACCGTCATTGCATTGCGTCGTACAATTTCTCGATACAGTCGAGTAAATCGGTTCTCTTCGAGACCGGTTGGACCTTCAATTGTGAATCTAGAAATTCCTCTTTCAATGGCTTCCACTTTTCCATCATCTGCAGGATTCCTCGCTGGTAGTGACTCCCAGCCCTCAAATACATTCTCTGCAATATATGTACTAAGCTGCCTGATCAAGGCTCTATCCCCACGAGCTCGTAGTATATCAAATGTTCCAATCCGTAACCAAGACTCGGCAAATCTTGCCACAATCGCCCCAGGCTCTACCGTTTCTCTTCTAACTCTCGAATGGGGCAAAAGAGTCAAAGATAGCGCTCTGGTAGTAGGTATCTTTAAACCATTCAAAGCCTCGGATACAATGAATTCCCTTATACTTGATCTCAACACGGCTTTCCCATCCGCAAATCGCGAATATGGCGTTATTCCTGCACCCTTCAATTGTAATTCGTAGCGGACGTTGGTAGTTGGATTCGTGGTCTCAAACAGAGATATCGCTCGTCCATCACCTAGTTGACCAGCCCAAGATCCAAATTGCCACCCGCCATAGCATTGTGCCCATGGATATCCACCCTCTAGTTTCTCTTCGTCCCAACCCCATAATTGGTTGCCAGCAACGGTTTGTTTGAATTCTTCTGTTGATCCCTGTGCCTCTTGAATTCCCAGGTCTTTCATTGCAGTAGGACTTACAGCGAGAAGTTCTGGATCTATCGCATTTTCAGGTCGGACCCATGTAAACAATGCACCTTTCACCTGCCGAGGTCCAATTTCAGCGCGGGGTGTTTTATGCGATGCGGCAGGTGTTGGGAAGAGAGGGTCGGGAGGAAGTGATGAGGTAAATGTCCATGATTTGGGAAGATCTGCTAGAGATCTGCCGGCAAGGGAAGAGGCCTTTGGAGCATTGTTTTGAGTGATATGAGATGCCATCTGAGCTATACGCATGCGTGGTATTGAGGTGAGTCGTGAGAGCATCAATAAACGTGTTGATGATCGGATGAACTGGGAGCTAAAGAATACAAAATATGTGAGACCTGTCAATAATTGGCATGGCGTAGAATAAAATTGTGAAGTTAATAATGATCTTTTCCGAGTTAACCTTAGTAAGAACGAGGGGGGCAAACGCAAACGCAAATGCAAATGCAAATGTCGTCAGGCTTATTAGGATGTTGAATGTTGATTACCTATCCCTGTATTCCGAATTTCTTCAACAATTCGCCCCTGTACGGAGCTTCGTAGGCTATCCCAAACACTATAAATCTATAAATATAGTGAGGGTGGTGGGGTTAGTACTTATGAGATCATCATTGCTAAAAGTAAGTCTTATCTAGGTACAAAATGAGGGAATACCTCTTTCATGGCCCCATTCGTCGAAGATATTGATGCATATTTTTCCTCTTCCATCTTCTTCGTTTCATTGTTTTTCATGAGTGCATTGTTCCCTTCGCTTTTCAAAGTATCCTTTCGTCCTGTCATAGAAAGTACCAGCAATATCCATTTTTCTCCTACTTCTGTTTGTCATATCATGAATTCCGCAACTTCAGCATATCAAAGCTCTTTCGGAGCTGAAGGCAATTCAGGTATTGCTCCAAAGCAAATGGCTCAGTTCCAAAAGCTCAGGTTGAATGATGGAAATGAGATTCCTGTGCTGGGATTTGGCCTTGGGACTGCTCATTATAAACCCAATTCCGACGGACCTATCGACAAGGGAATTGTGCAGACGGCTCTTATGGCCATTAATGCTGGTTACTATCATTTGGACGGAGCTCAAGGTAATTTCAATCCTTCAATGTGGTCCAGAATTTCTATTTGTAACACATTCTTCCAGCATATGGCAATGAGAGGGAAATGGGCATGGCAATCAAAGAATCCGGTGTTCCGCGGGAGAAATTCTTCATCACTACGAAAATCACTGGTACCCAAGCAGTCGACACTCAAGCTGCTTTTGAAGAATCTCTGAGGAAGCTCCAGCTTGATTATGTCGATCTGTACTTGATTCACGCTCCATTTTTTGCCAATACTCCTCAAGACCTCCGGAGTAAATGGGCGGATATGGAAGCTATTCATGCATCTGGAAAAGCCAAGTCTATTGGAGTGTCCAACTTTCTACAAAAGGATTTGGAAGCCATTTTAGAAACAGCCAAGATTATTCCTTGCATCAACCAGATTGAATATCATCCTTACCTTCAACACGGATCTTTGATTCCTTATCACCGAGAAAAGAATATAGCAATAGCCGCCTACTCTCCATTGACGGCTGCCGTCAAAGCTTCTCCAGGACCGTTGGATAGTACATACGCTGAACTAGCTAGAAAGTACGGTGTGACTCCTGGAGAGATAGCTTTGAGATGGATTATTGATCAAGGAATGGTAGCATTAACTACGAGTGGGAATGAACAAAGATTGAGAGCCTACCAAAAGGTTAGCCAATTTAAGCTAACACCTAAGGAGGTCGAGGACATTGCTAGAATTGGTAACGAGAAGCATTATAGGGGGTTTTGGAAGAATAAGTTTGCGCCGGATGATAGGTCATAGATATGTCTGTTGCTGGGAAGATTGAAAAAGCCGTGGCAAGAATGTATCAAATCAGTAAAGCTATTCACGGGTTACTTTCGTGATGTTAACGTGCAAATAGAACTTATAGTACGTCATCTAGATAGATTTTCCAAGCTCGTTCAATAACTTCGTCCCGTCTCTTGATACCTAGTATGTTTCCGAAATGTCAAACAGAACATATATAACCTAAATAAGTAATACAAATCTTGGTGGAATTAGTTTTGAACGCATTGATGAGATGGATATCTTGTATTATTAAGGTAAAGAGTCTAGAAGTAGTTGTATTAAACTAAATAGTCTTAATTCAAATAAAGATAGACTTTTAATAAAAAAAAAATTAAAAAATATTTGAATTTAGTTATTTTTAATATTTATTAAAAAAAACTTGATATTTAATAATCTATATATAAATTTTTATTTTTTTTATTTTAATACGATTAATAAATATACTTAAAGAACGCCTGCTTAGTCAACCGCGCTAGCTAGCATTTTCTGCATCTGTTTGCCTTTTCCACTATCGACATCAATATCACGCCAAAATTTCAATCCGGATCTATTATAGAATTATCAAACATCATAAAAGGATATGACTTTAAGAAGACAAAATATACCATCTCCAAATTCATAATGCTAGATCAGTATCTCTCGCGAGAAAGCAGACGCGACCAGAACAGGTCTCCGGAGGACAAGAGAATATATTCTCGCAAATTTGACCTTCATCAGTACTTTTCCCCTGCAAGCAGAAATACAAAAAGATTCATCTATTATGATAGATTGAAGAAGGTATCCATGGTTCATGATGCCAACACCATATCCGGAGACCCAAAGACTTTGGTTGTTGCGGTACGTGGAGCTTGTCCGCATGACGGGAGTGATTTGGCAACGGAATCTTCTTTGGGTATCTTTTTTGGAGAAGGCTCATTATTCAATTTGTATGACAGGATTGGAAGGTCTATAGGGGAACTTCACACCAGCAATTATGCGGAACTTATGGCGGTTTTTCGCGCTTTGGAGCTCATTAAGGATAGCTCATTTTTTGATGTTTGGAGGGCTGATGCTGAAAATGGAGTGTATTCTACGGCTATAATCATGACAGACTCGGTATATGTGTACGAGAGTCTCACGGCATTGATTTGGCAGTTGCGCCAAAACAATTTTCGGGATGAAATGGGCAAACCTATGGTTAATGGCGAGTTGATAGACAGAATCGATAAGACTATTTTCGATCTCACAGAGAGGAATATTTGCGTTCGTTTTTGGAGTGTTCCACGAGAGGATAATGCGGAAGCTGTCGAGTTAGCAAATCGGGCTTTGATACCTGGACCTTAGGTCGTCAATCAAATTGCTACGCCGTATATACACACGCCAATACTTTAAAGCAGAAATTTAAAGTGCTGCGCTGGTATGGTTTGGACTTCACCATTCAACAGGCGAAAATTACGCAGCTTTTCATTGACCTCGTTCAATCTGTGGTACTGGCCGGACAGAACAGCAGGGAGAATTTCGAAATGCTTCTACCTCCAGATTATTTTGATGGATATATAAAGCATGGGAATTTCTTCACATGGCCCTTTATCTCGTCCTGTAAAATAAGGCTAGTCCTTAAGTATTCAGCGAATGGGAACCAATACGTACAGCCATGTACCAATTTGAAGGCTTGCGCAAGAGATTTCACAGCGGAGAGTGTGTTCTCTTTCAGAGTCATTAAAAGATATAACTCATTCCAATAAGGAGACAATCAATTCGCTTTTAAGCATCATGAAGGGCATGAAGAAGTCCATGAGTGTCAATAAGCCGCCGTGCTTCCAAATTGAACATGTCGATATATTGTAAAAGAGAGAAGTCGAGATACGTGCGTCCCGATAGCACACTGTGAGGGGGTATAGGAGGAGAAGGCTGAGTGGATATATTGTAACTAGTTATTTATAGAGGAATGGGTTTCACAATGACTTTGGGGTTATTATAATAAGTCTAGTACCCTACTTTCGGATAACCCTTTTACACGAAAAATCGTGATTTTCAACTATTAATAACTTCATAACTAATCGATAAAATTTGTTAAGATTTGAATTACAGATTCATTATATAATTATTAATGAATTCCGAAAATTTCAGAATTTTATTGATTTTATTAATTGAGGAATTAAAGATTAAAATTATAATTTTCAATTTATATAAGATTTATATACAAATTTGAAGAATTCGAAAATCTTCAATAACTTTTCCAAAAAAAAATTACTAAAAATAATTTAAAAATTTTAAAAAAAAATATTATAATTGATCAAATAAGTTAATTTATTTGAAAAAATAATTTGTGATTGTTGTTTTATTATCAATTAAATATTTATTTATATAAAATTTTATATAGAATAAAATATAAAGATTAATAAAACAATAATTACAAATTATTTTTTTTAAATAAATTAATCTATTTCATCAATTATAATATAAATATTCCAAAAAAATTTATAGTTTATTTTTAATAATTTTTCTTGAAAGGTTATTTAAGATTTTCGAATTCTTCAAATTTGTATATAAATCTTATACAAATTGAAAATCATGATTTCAATTATTTATATCTCAACCAATAAAATTGTGAAAAATCTGAAATTTTCAGCATCAATCAATAATTTTATAATAAATCTATAATTAAAATTTCATTTCATTTAATTCATTGGTTGTTGAGATATTAATAGATGAAAATCGTTATTTTTGATGTAAAAGGTGTTCCGAAAGGGGGGTGGTCCGAAAGTAGGGTACTAGACTTATGGGATTTCAAAATAGTATGTAAAAGGTTGATTGTTTGTGGAAAGAAGGGGGTGAAAGCCTCTCCTTATATCTAACTATGTAAGGTCATGTGATTGAGCTATTGAAAACCTCTACGTGTATAGCCAGCAATTCCAACTTTCTCACAATATTTTTGTCCTAGTAACATACTGCGAGGGGAAGGGCGATTCAGAGGATCTATATTGTGCAAATTTCGAATAATAGAATTAGAATGAACAATGATACAATACAAAGAAAATGAAAAGGAACCCTCTTCCCTCTTCTTTTTACATTTATCTCCAAAAGTAAAATCATTATATAATACAATAATAGTACATCATTATAAATTAACTATTTATTATCTATCTGACTACCAAAAGCTAAATTTCTCACAGTATCTTGTAAAATCTTATAAATAGAAATATATATATATAATCAAATACAATTCGTAACACCAAACGATTCACCCTCAGATGACCAAGTAAATAGGTACTAACGACATACATACTCCATGTTTAGATTATAAGCACTCAGTTCTAGACCTGTGATTGAGATACTTATACATGAAAACAAGAATATATAATATATCCCAGAAAATTGCATCACGGAAACACCCCCTAAAGGAAATAGCATACAATCGATCAATCGATCAAATAATCAAAAGATTCACATAATTACCCCAATAATCCTCCTCTTCCTACTTATATCCCTTGCTTGTACCATCTTTTTATCCGCATAAAATTCTACATAGTGAATAGTTTCATATCTCCGACCAAGTGGCTATATCTTTACCATTGGAACTACAACCTACTACCAATTTATCACGGAAGGCATTTAGTGTTTATTCAAGATCACCCAATATGGAGGTACCTGCCACCCACTACCTAAAACATTCTTCATTCTTCTCCTTATCCTCACACCCACAACCACACTCCCCGTCTACTTCCGAGAATTCCTTCTTAATACTGAATGCTCAATGCTCAATACCCAACACATCCCCACCAACCTATCTACCCTCCCCATAGCTCCAGGATTGGTACTTAGAATATGGTTATATCTTTATATTAGCTAATCACTCTGAGTACGTGGGGCTTCTCTTGTCCTCTGTACTTTTAGGCTCGAGGTCATGAAATCGAGAATCGAGAATGGAAGAAGATGGTGTTGGTTTCCCCCTTGAGCTTTCTTTGTAAGCTTTGTTTAATCTTATTTTATAATCAGAGCTATTAGTTTGATGGTTTCTAGCCGAATTTACATATCTGGGTTGTTTTCGGGCTTCTCGGCTATCATATGGTGAGCTGATGGTATTTTATTGTATTGTCTAGTCTAGTCTAGTCGGTTTTGTTTTTTTGATGTTTTCAGAAGAAGGGGCAAATTGAGCGAAGAGGTATACGATGTACTTAATTCTATTAGGTAGTAGTGGCTGGAAGGAGAATGTGTATTGAGTGTTTGATGGCTTGATTGTGGGAGAGGTGGAGAGGCTGGTATGTCGGAATGTGGATCGATGAAATGGAATCTACACTTTGATTCATTGAGGATAAAGCAGTTTGGTAGATCATTAAATGTGATGACAGCGGGAGGATATTTGGATGATGCTATGGACTTGATAAAGAGGACGCGTTGGTTATTAGAGAGTGGAAATTACAGTTGGAGTTCGTTGATAATTTAAGTTGAGGTCACTATTCAACATAGATTAACCAAAGTATAATCAATATAAAGAAATATTGAGATTCCCTCCTCTCAAATTTTGCTTAATGACGAAATATGCTTCCAGTCATCATTCATGAGTTTACCGCGAGTACTGCCTCCACTTAAAGGAAACAAAAAAACTACATCAAAACATGACTTCATGACGAATTAAACCTTTGCACACCAAGAACTTTCTTGTATTATATTCATGCGAGTCCCAGGTTCGAAACCTATGAGAATAGAGAAATCGATGCGAAACTAGAGATGTAAATAAAGAAGCGGGATTTGAATGAGAATAGTAAATATATTATGGACATGTGGACAACGAGGACGGGCTGGGCTATTTTGATCGGTGATAAGGTTTTGAGATTAAATTGAAGGAACCATCCTTCATGTATTAACAATATGTCAATATCCTCGCGCCTTTATAGCCTGTCACTAAACAGTTATGGAATATCGGTCATATGTATGTACAAAACAAAAATAGCATTGCCATAGAAACAAAAAAGGCTGGCAATTATGTGCCTTCTCCATATTTTCGCACTCAGTAAGCTCTACCACTTCGCCGCACACACCAGATGTTGACCACTGTCATTACCGCACCCAGCCCTTCAAAATTTATTACACCAACCAGCCACTGACAAAAGTCCAGCCTTTGCCTTATATCACCCGCCACACAATCACCGCCTGGTAACGCCCCTCTTACCAGCAAATTGAGAATGTCGGTGTGATATCCACACTCCCGTGGTGCATAGCTCCCGTGCAGGCCTAGGTATTCACGACCCCACCTGTGCATGCAGCACGCAGAATTACACCCCACCCCACCGTGATATCGTCAATCCCGCTTGAGATTGTGGTTGTCAGGGATACGCACGAGTCACTGTGGAGCTTTAACTTTGGATAACCGAATTGTATGAAGTGGATGAGTAGGATTTGAAGATCTGAATTCGCGATAATGATTTGCATATAATATGCGCCTCGGAGAAGTCATATTATTGAGGGCCAATCACATAGGTGTAGCACATGATATCGACGAGACAGTTTAAGATATTCCTTTGACTTGATTCGTAGTCCTTCGTATGAGAACCGGTATCGAAATAGAACATGGGATCATAACTCATCGTCCGAGCCCGATTCCGTCTCAGATCCATCATTTGCAGGCTTGGACGCAGGTACGGGCGCTGACTTTTTTTCGAACGGTAATTCTCTTTTAGCCGGTAGCTCTGCGATTTTTGTTGTTTCTGTTGGTCTCGGCGCTGTTTGCATTTCCTCATCAGATTTATCTTGAACAACATATTTACTCACGGACTGGTGAGACTCTGGGTGTGGCGCCTGCTCATCTTCCGTATCAGTTTCCTCGTCCGATTGATCAGGGGTTTGGATTTTTGGTTGGTCTGATTCGTCCGCGATATCATTCTCATCTTGACTTTGGTCGACATCCATCTTTTCAAATGCATCATCGGAATCTGAGCTTCCAGGCTGTACTTCTTTTGCAGCTTTACGCTTTCCACTTCTCGATGCGCCGGCGGTTCGAGACTTCCCAGATCTTATATTTTGGACTGCCTCGACCTTGTCTGGATCGACTTTGGCGCCCGCTAATAATCTTTGTTGGTCCCTCACTTTGAGCTTCTTCTCGTTGAACATGAGGCTAAATTTCCCCAAAAGTTGGTTCTCATGGTCGGACTTTCGTTTGGTTAATTCCCTGAAATTCTCATTCAGTTTCTTTAATGTTTCCTGTTGTTCGCTATACTTGATCCGTAACGCTTCCAGTTCATCCTTTGACGAATCTGCCGATTTTGTTGCCAGAGCGCACCAATCGAAGAGACTAATTTCTTCTTCCTCTGTTTCATCTAGTTTGATTGTGCCAAGGCGTTGCTGGTATATATTTAGTATCTAATCTGATAAAATTTGTCAATATAATGACGAAGAAGAAACGTACCCTGATCCCTTCAATGACCTTTTGGATCACAAGGGTCATGGCTTTCTTCTCCACTTTAGCATGAATTTCAACCCCTCTTGTCACATTCCCTTCTTCTTCCTTCGGCGGCTCATGTAGCAGGATGGATGACAATACAAGAGACCATTCTTCATCGGTATATGGAGAGTTTTTTGCCTTGAGTGTAGATATCTTGCTGTGCTTCACTAGACAAAAATAGATGAAGTTAGTTTTAGGTCCCGCAATTAACGCATGAACTCCAAAATCCGGGTTTGAAATCAGGGACCCCCAGCACGGGATGATCAGGGTCGGAGCTTACATGAGACTGCAAATACGAGTTCACCATCGGTCCCAATTAACTTTACATCCAAAGGTCGTGACCCGGCAGATTCGACGAGAAGGAGGAAAACTTCATCTTGGTTCGTAGCGCTGGATGTGATGCGAAGAACTGCTGGAAGTTGCTTCGCTGCCATGATGATTCCCCTGGCGTTGATCAAAATGCGGTTTAATGACGTCTTGGTGACGAGACAAGAAAGTAAATCCAATGGGTTGATAAGGGAAAAGGAAAACCAAAAAGTATGCCATCAACGATCCAAGAAATGAAGAGAATGAAAGACAAGCATTGGAACGTAGATGGTAAGTTTGGGATTGAATGTTATGATGAAATAATCAATCTATTTACTTGGGTAAGATTATGTTATTGGTAAGGGGATCTATAGTAGATCTCATCAGGCAACGAAGAGTGAGTGCCCTTTTCCTTTTCTTTCTTTCCTCACTCAGCTTCACTTTATTCAAGGGCGAATCAAAAGAGTTCTGTTGATAATTATTGGACCCATACATACGGTTACACTCAAATAATATGATCTGATAGGTCCAATATATCCAACAAAACAAAACCTGCAGTTAAGATCTTACCTACTCTGTCTGCACTCTCCCCTCGTAACCATAGGTACGCGACGCGTTTAATTTCCAAATGTTGAGTTTTCGTCTAATTCAACCAATCATTCTTTCTCATTCCCATCAAATTCGTGGCTGGGCCAATTCTTTCTTACTTGACGAATCCTTAAACCCAAACTAGCCAGCCACGGAGCTTCAAATCATCATCCTACTTTTCCTGCTCCTCCACTCATCCATCCACTCATCCCCAGTGAACACAGCGGAGATCTAAATTTTCAACCCACTTCAATCTTTTAATATCCACCCGCCAGGAGTACGACTATCAAGGGATTAGGGATTCGGGATTCATCTCCATTTCCACCAACAAACAATTCCTTTGGTCGAGCACCTGCCCTCAAAGGGCGCTGGACGTTTGGATACCAGCAAAGGTGGGAAGACAAAACATCAATACGGTAGATAAACAATTCAGTTCAATTGAAATGAATTGATCGAATTGATATCAAGTCGACAAACTCAATTCACGCTTGCTCTTAAATTGAGCACCGAGCACACCTAGCACCACAAATTCGAAACCACGAAATCGCCATTGCGACCACGATTGCACTGATTCACTCATACATACTAGGAATAACGGTTCGACCAACGCGAAACAAAACAAAACAAATTACGGTTGCAGTTCCTGTTGCGGATACTATTTCAATACAACAACAGTAATAAAATACACAAAGTAACGAGTTCTTTTTACGATATGAATTTACGACATTGCCCTTCTAGCGGTTGAACCTATTGTCATAATCCGACTCATATTTCGATCGTATCTGAGAAGGAACATATTTTCGCGAATATTCCAGCCTCCGCTTCTCTGCGACACACAAATTGTGATCCGAAATGGATCAATTGGTATTAAAACCTCGGAAACCTGTGGAGGACGACGTGGAGAATTGGGATGATGACGATCTTGACATTGGGGGCGAGGATTTTACATTTCGGAGTGCTTCAGCAGCAACGACTGCGACAATGGTCTCGACACGCAGAGAATCTGTTTCTTCACGTCTATCCATAAGATCGGACTTCAATGAGGAACGACAAGTACACTTGCCGGAGGATGATGAACGAGCCACGAACGATGCGATCGCGACGGCAAAAATGGCCGGCATACCTTTGCCGGAGAACGTACCTTCCTCAGCGTTACTGGGAGGAACAATAAAGAGACTTGGTGGAAGAAAATTAAGAAAAGTTATTTCAGATGATTGGGATGACGGGGATATCCAAGTGCCGCTTGGAGAAGCCCTGAAGATCAAGCGACAAGATGGATCCAAATTTCCGGAGACGCTCCGTCAAGTGAGCGGCCCAGGATCCCTGAGCCCACAGAAAACATTGATGGCTGCTCCGGTATTCCATACTAATCACAGGCCTGAATTGAAAACAAAGACTGCATCATCAAACATGCTTGATCGCTATCGAGATGAAGACGATGACTTCCTTGCGGATGGCGAGGCGACCATAAAAGTTTCGAAGAAACGCAACGCCGTGTCTATCATGCCATCAGTCACATCACCAACGCCAGAGAAACGTACAGAAACTGAAGAAGATTTCGAACAAGATTTGCAGCTCCCTTCAGATGGAGCTTTGAAGCTCACTACTCGTAAAGATATCCCGAAGACCCCTCAGAGTAGCCAGGATGATTTTGACGATTGGGGTGAAGGTAGTTTAGGTACTCGATTTGGTGGAACGAAAAGAGATGGTCGATCCAACAGGAACTCCGATTCATTTGCTATGAGTCCCAGCATTGCTAGTTCCATGACTGCTGAAAGCGAAGATGAAGGCCTTGAAGGTTTAGTGTTACCAAGTGGCCCTCTTAATTTCGATGATATTCTCAAGAAGCGTCAACAGAACGATTGGCCTGAACGTCAAGTAGAGGTAAAGCAACCAAGAAGAAGTTTGGGTGGAAAGGATGACTTCTTGACTGGGCTTGAGCTCGGCGATGGGGACGTATTCGATTCGAAAAAGCTCACATTTAATCGTAACATAAAGATCAAAGCCACTAAACAACAAAGCCCAACTAGACCCAAGCCATCTGTTTCATTAACCTTTACGAACAAACCTGCGCCGCCTTCTACCTCCCGACTCCCTAGGCCACTTGGGCATGAACGTATTCCATCATCTCTTGAACCTGTCTCGGAGAGTGGCGGTCCAATACCAAGTCGAAATCGTAGGTCGCAATCTAGAATGGGTCATTCGACTCATTCTTCAATCAATGGTATTGGAATATCGAACGCGACATCTTCCAATCACCCAATACCTCCATCAACTCCCAGGCGTCGTGAACTAGGCTCAAAATCGTCCGCCTCGAACTTACGCAATGAACCCACCACGACCAGTTCACAGCTCTTGAAGCTTAAGCGATCAATGCCAACCATGAAAACTTATCAGCCATCGCCAGCTAAGCCAATGCCCACACGGTACGAGAGACCACCGTCTCAAACCGAGAGTAGCAATAGGCCACTGTCAATGTCTCGGTCCAAGGATTCTATCGAAAGAGATCGATCGGGGGCTGAGTCCAGCATGTCCTTTGTCAGGAAGAATCCTGTTCCATTTTTACCTGCTGGTGCTCCAATTTCTCAATCACACCATGTTGCTGCCAAATCATCCCGGCATCTTCGCCGTAACGATTCTGAATCCTCAAGTAACAGTGCTGATTGTCGTCCTCCATCAAGAACATTTTCCAGGCAAACAATGCGGTCGCCAAGTCCGCGCAGAGCTCTTAGGGGTGCTGACATGCTTGCTCGTGAAGCCACCTTGAAGCGGCAAATCACAAAGCCTATTCGACGGAGACATTTTGGTGATGGTTGTGAACTTGACGCTTTTGATGATTTACCTACGTCGCGAGATGTGGAGCAAAAGTTTGTCAAAGAACCAATTGGCCGTGGTCCACCGAGGCAGCTTACACTTCGCAACAAAGCTCATCAACACATTATGCCCACACGAACTGCATCGCCTATACCTTTGACACCATTGACACCAGCGAAAAGTAGGAGTGAACTACCACGCTTTGCTCGCGATACCGCTGCAAGTCGTATGGCTCGAGAAGCGACGTCATCCAATCGCTCGGTCTCTGGGTCTGGAGCTCCTCTAGCTGCGCTTACAAATCAATGGAGGGCTAAGGTTGCAGCAACCACCGGACTTAGTCCTGTTCATGCACAAGGTTCCGTTAGATCGAAAAAGCATAAGGTGCCTCAAAAACCACAACTTATTAAGCCATTGGGAAATGTCAATAACCCTAGATGTGTGTATTACCTCAATTCTTTTTCCTGCCCACCGCTAACCTTTTTCTGTAGCTGTGAAAGGGATGAAATATGACCCCGTTAATTATCGATGGGAAGGCAATGAGATTGAAGTATCTGCCTTTGACATGCCGGTTTCTGCTACCTCGACAGCTTCGATACCTGTCCAAACACCACGAGTAGCATCATCACAAGTATATCGAGAGAAGGAATGCTCAACACCTCGTCCTGCGCTTATAACCAACATCAATTCTGCTCAAAATGTCCAAGTTGTTGGTGGCATGGTGTTTGATCCACAGCGTATGTGCTGGCTTAAGATGCCTGGTGACAGCAAAAGAACAAAGAGCGATTCTGGCGATACTATGGATGGTTTTGATGCACTTGATGAGGAGGAGGATGTTTTCAAGGATGTTCCTGATCTCGAAGAAGGTCCCTCGAAAGAATCGGATGAAATTTCTGGTTCAAAGGGTGAAGGTGTCAGTGGTCTTAGCGACTGGCTTGTTGGCGAAGAGTTTGATGTGGGCCCCGAGTTCGTCAAGCGACAGAGAGAAGAGGAAGAGCGCTGGAGAAGGAAATGTGAAAAATGGACTGGGGCTGCACGCGACACTGAGGGAAACTCCTGGAGATGGAGTATCAGAGACGTAGTCAACGAATTATGAGTATATGGCGGAACAGGTCGGGCATGAGGGCATGCATTGTACATTCTTTGGGATGGAACCTTATCGGATAGAAAAAGATAGGAAACATGATGAGGGGGTCGGATGGATCTTGGTTTGTACTATGAGATGATGGTTGGTGGGTTTTAACGACACTATTTGCATAATGCTTTTCTCTATTTTTGAATTTTTGGGCGATACAACATTAGGCGTATATTTGGGCAAAAGAATATCCTTGGCTGGGACGGGAAGGTTTTTTATTTGTGTGGATGGATTGGGATGCCATACCCTTACGACGAGACAATGAAAGGAACGAACAAAAGCTTAATAGAGCTACGAAGGTTATGACTGTTATGATCGGGTTTTATACTTGACTATGTATTTTCTTGTATTTTAGTCCTATCATTCGGTTTTTAGGGTTTCCTTCTACAAGGTTCGGAGGAAAAATAATATTATGGATATGGATATTGTTATTTTTATTTGGGTTGGAGATTGGAGATGGGAGATTTATATATCACGAATTGAAAGGAGTTTTAGTTTTCTTTTTATATATATGCTGAGTGCTTTGCAGACTTTCTTGAATACAGACAGGTAGATAGATGGTGGTGAATTATGTATGGATTGGTGTCGGAATGGGATGTAGGTCTTGAGAATTTGACTGAGGAAAGGAGGTGGGAGGTGAGGAAGAAATGTGGGGAAGGGATTTCTAGTGAATATATATCATAGGCTAATGGGTGATAAGTTCGTTTATGTATATATATATATACATATATATACATAGGTATTTGTGTGTGGGGAAGTGGGATTATTGAGTGAGTGGCTTTAACTTTCGAGTTTGGTTTGGAGTACGATTTCTTTAGGGTATCGTTCGAGATTAAGTATGAATTGAGTTGTGCCGTTCTAACTCAGGTGTTGTTATTGCGGTGGTATAAAGTATCGTCTGGGAGGCTGGCGAAAACTGGTGATTCATATCATGATTTGATATGAAGCATGAATTGGAAGCTTCTTATTTGAGTGACGATTCGCATTTTGATTGGGTATGAGGTATGAATTCGTAAGATTTTGCTCGAGTAGTGACTCGAAGCGTGGTCCTTATAGGCATTGTTTGGGGAAGAGTGTCAGGAGTATTCATTCAGAGTACTACTCTGGGGAGTATTATCTGAATATTCCATAGTCAGCAAAAGATTGACGGAAATCCTAATTTGGAATATTATTTGAATGAGGGTTGCTCAAATAGTGGATTTTGACTCAGAAAATACCTTCGTGTCAGGTACAGGTATATATATATCTAAAGAGATGGTGACTGGAATGGTGAATTTGAGTGTTGTTCGAGGAAGTTTTGTTTGAGAAATGAGACGGCTGTAGGGTTTTTACTCTGCACACGGCACTGTTTCCCGAGGATGACTGACTCGAATCTTGAACAGTGATTTAAGAGTCAACGTCACAGTACGATTTAAATGTATAAAATAGAGTGGAAGGTTCCCTCAGGGTCGAAGTTCAGCAGCCAAACACACTAGCTCGAACGCCGAAGTCTACGTACCTAAGCTTCATATTCTCACGTCGAATCGAAGATACATATCATAGTCATCAAGCTTCATCGTCCATCTGTTAGAAGTATCTTCTGATTAATCGTTACCAAGCATTATCAGTCCTACGTATAGGTTCCAGTGAGCCTCTCCGTTTGCATCATCGATTATCTTTCCTGTTACAGCCATCATCATGTCGCTAGTTAGACATAGGAATTCGAGAGGCCCTTATAATACTCTTTAGTAAATTTAGCATACTGATCTATTCCTAGACGTTGTTGATAGTTTGCGCATTGCTATGGGAACTTTCAGACAACTTGCAAAAGACGATCCGCAAAGACCGCAAGTCTTAACAGACCTACGGGCCCGCTTCGCAGCTTTGTCAATCAGTCTCTAAAGTGCGCTTGACAAATACGAGAATCTCCTTTCAGCGGTACACACAGATGTTGATGAAATGCCAAGCCATGGAGGTTGGAAGGATGCCGTTTGTAGCAGACTGACTAGAGACAAACATATTTGCACGTCTTCGTGGGGCGATTTGTATTTAGATATAATCTCGACGCGGAGATGGAGCATCGAAGTTTCAGTGGTAGGACAAGCATAGTATATAAGCACGATAGGAGATCGGAGAACCGAAGTTTCAGTGGTTGGACAACCATATTAGTATCGTTGATAATGGATTTACATTATTCCTAAACACGTATCAAATCTATCTTGACTACATGCGCAATCTACAATATTAAAACACGACAAGGATTGAGTGAAAAGAATGATAGTGAAGATTAAGAAAGGTTGTTATATGATTTGGAGAGTCTGAACCATTACTCGAAGGGAAGTAGCTGAAATACCAAGTTCTGACTCGGGATTTGGTATCATTTTGAGGAAGTGACTCGAAAAGCGATTTTTATTCATTGACACAATATTTTTGACTACTTTAAGGCCGTTATTAGGTGCTTCAGAGACGTACAAATAGGTCCGATTCCCCTCGATGTTGAAGTTCAGCACTCAAATAAAATCGAATTTCGGAAACGAAAACGAAAATGAAAACGAAAACTTCGAAAACTTCAAGCTGCCTCGTCAAATTAAATATCCATATCACTTCGTCATCACATCTCATCATCAATCTACCTACGTTATCTATCATAGGATCACTCTATCAATATCGCTGGCTCTACATTCTCGGAAACCTCTACCATTCATACCGTCAAATATAGTGTTAGTTACCGGCCATCATCATACCTCAGCGACCTTTGGAACCCTTCTCCGGTAGGTTGTAACCTACTATATGAATTTACACCATTTTAACACTGTCTTTAGTCGAAGTTGAGAATGCGCGTCTTGAAATGGAAGCTTTTTACACCCGGACCAGCAAAATTATTCAGAACGTTAATTGGCGAAACTTTCTTAAGCGGTTAAAACCCCTTGAATCTTTGCTAGAAAGGCTTAAAAAGCATCATCGCCATTTCTCATGGATGATTGAAACTATGGAGCTATCTCTGGCTCAGTCGTTTGATATTGCAGCACGTCTCGAAGGTCGAATACGTGTCGTAGTTGAAAATCTCCTTACAATGAAGCAGGAGAAGATTAATGTTTATGCTTATTGGAGGGAAAGGCGAGCTAAAGATGTACGGAACGTACTAGGCTGGATAGTTCTACTTCATATTCGGGACTACCCTGGTGTGGTGGTATCCAAATATATATTACGTGTATTGCGACTGTGTAATAGGTATGATTCTGGGGGAAATGACTGGAATCTCCAGTTTTGATTCGGTATATATTATGATTTGAGGATAAGCTCCACGAAAATCGATTTCAATTCAATGACACAGCGTCTTTTTAGTACTTATGAGTCAACTTCGAGGTGTTTTATAGATGCATAAATAGATTGGAATCCCCTCGACAGAAAGTTCAGTACGTCGAGAACCAAAAACAGCTTACCCAAACCTCAAAGACACTCCTTCAAACCAAAGACGCCGCAACCTACATTCTTTCAAACCGAAGTCCGTCGTTTATCTGTCTATAGATCCTTCACAAAATCGAAAATAATCAACTTCTACTCCACAATTATCCTTCATCGTCTATCTAGCGCATCATCCTGCATTGAAATCAGCTAATTAAGCATCATTACTACCGCGTTCCAACAAATCTGCCCCTCGCTTATTCGCACCGCCAAGTCTCCTTCCTGTTACCGAGAATCGTGTCGGCCACTGAATCTTCTGCTGCTGGATCTTCTAGTGTCGGCCCTAGATCTGCCGAACCTTTCGTTAACAATGGGAAGAATGAGAAGAAATATCCTAAACACCCAATGTCCCGTAGGTCATTGACATAATCCGTTATAGTGAAAGCAGCTGAAATTGATCAAATACGCCCAGATTTGGTAAAGTTCGCAGGCCGCAAGCCTGAAGATCCAAATTGACAGATGGAAAGAGGAGCATTGAAGGACCGTCTTACGATATTAAACCTATCCCTTGAAGCAGTACTGAAAGAAAACAATGCGCGGTATGATAAGTCCCACGGGCATTTCAAAAGTTCGCAAGTGCCTCAGAGGAGGGTGAAAAATAACATCAGGAAGGATATTTCTAACTTGAAACGGCAAGTGGAGAGGGTGAAAGCAGATGCCAAAGATGTTGACATCTGGCTAAATCAAATTTACACTAACCGAATTCGCGAATATCCGACCTATGAACAACAGGCGCACAAAGTTGCTCAGGAAGGAATAGCAAAGATGAATGAAGGAGGGGAATAGCCCGTGGAATGTTAAAAAGTGATATCATATTGGAAGAGCCTAAGTGCTACGGAGCATAAATGGAGGAATTTGCTGCTTAGTAAAACGCCTGACTTTTTGTATAGCTAGCCGAGCTTCTTTGATGAAAATCATCTTAGTTGTTCTGCCAATAAACGCTTATACTATTTTCACGATAATATATTTTCCAAACTTTGAGAACAATGGTAATGTGGTTAATTCTGAGAGAACTCGACTGTAAGCGGAAGTGAATTAATCAGCCCACTATAATTAGGCGTGTTTCAATTTTCGATACCTACATAATATCATAATTGAAACGTTCTGCGATGATATCAAGTGATTCAATACCAGCCACCATAACAGTTACTCCCATCACTGCTCCCAACGAAAAGTGATGGCATTCGAGTCACAAATTTGGTTTATGATCCTTAATAGAACTTTGGATCCATGAATGATGGTTTATAGATACAATGAAAATGCATCATCAACCTGACTTGACACCAAAATGAAGGTTCATTATCCAGCCTCCCAGCTGAGATGCGCGAAGTAAAATGACTGAAATCTGATTTGAAAAGATTGCATCGGTTGGAGAATAATCTGACCAAGGCACAAGCGATTCATTCTTAAATTGGTAACCCGGAGCAATAATGATATTTTTGTATTGTTGGAAAGATATATCACGTTCTCAATTTCATACATCCTGACTGGGTGATGGATGGGTATCGTGTGGGTTAAAGAGCCTAATCGGAAGATTCTGTCATTAAACAGAACGCCTAGCTATGCATCACTAGCCGAGCTTCTGCACAGAATGCATTCCAGCTATATCCCTAATGCACTGCACACCTGTATATGCCATATTCGTTAAAATAACCATTGAAAACTACGGAAACCGAAGTTCAATAAGCCGGCCGTAGAAGGGGCGCCGAGGCAAAGCGACTCAACTTAGTCGGGGCTCAGCCTTCCATCACTTAATTATGAAAGAACCACACCAGTGGTTTAGTGACTGACCAAGAGAGATACTGCTAATAAGATAAATTCCGAGAAGGTCATTGAAAGAGAAGGCCAATGTATATGTCTTGATTTTATCAATTAATAATAAATAGTCCGTGTCGAATCCCAAGTTTTTAGAGAATCTAATTACATGTAACCGTGCTTTCTTACAGCTGGACTGAAATTTTGACCCCCTCCCCTTTTCTTCTTCGCTAACTATTCAATATCAAAAACTATCGCTGATCTTTTGTCGATGAAGTGCTTCGTACTATTGGTTTCGTGGAATGGTATCAAAATGTTTGCTTCATTTACAAGGGTATATTCCGTTAAAGCTGCAGAAAATGCAGTATTGGGTATTTAATTTTGTTTCTTACATATCGGAGCTCGCATCGAAAATAGAAAGAAAGCAAAGTTGTGACTAAAGTGTGAATGGTATGGCGTTGGTAGTGCATTGGAGTAATGATAATATTCAAGTTGTCCAAATTAATTGTTTCCATCAAGACTGAATCCCAATCGGACTTTATATATGAGCTCCAATAACGATGTCAGACGTTCCCCGTCAGAGAACATATTGTTCTTGAGGCACCACTTCTGTAACTTGACTGCCTCATCTGATTTGATAGATCTTGGGTATCCGCCTGCAAAACCACATTCAAATGTGCTCCTCCTAGGTTCCCAAGCAGGGCCATCGGGATAGGAACAGTGACCAGGCTTATCCATCATAAGGTAAAAGACTGTGCGGCTCAGCTTCCAGTACATGATGCAATGTTGATCACTGCGGTGCTCTGATCCGAACAGGGTTGTGAAGTTCTCTGCGCGATCTCTTCCAGCCATTACCATATACATGATAATCTCACCCAGATGCATCTCTATACAATTCTTTTGTAAAGAGAGCAAGCCGATCTCAATGGCAAATTTCGTCGCTCGTTGGTCGCTGGAGCGAATACAGTCTCGGAAGTATCGAAGGCTTGGTGAAGCAACGTCTTGTTCCTCGGGAAGTCTAAGTTGCATTTGAAGTGCTCGCTTAGCCAGGTGGTGTGCATTTTTATTTTGCTTCCTACCAACACGCCACAGTCGGATATCAATACTGTTTGAAAGTAACTCAAGCATTTGTTGGATACGCAAAATGAGATCTTTGTCGCCAACCGACTTTCCTTCAACAGTCTTAAACCCATTTTTCGACCAGACCTGAATCCACATGGTGAGACGGTTTTCAACGAACTCTGAATCAACAATTATAACCACCATTACTTTCCTGACCATATGCTTGATCCTCTTGGCTGTCTTGATGATCCATTCTCTCAGGGTGATGTGATGTTTGACAAGCTCAAGTGCGTGAAGAACCGACATCAACTCGGCATAATTGTTGGTGTGTTTTTCTCCTGGAGGCCTTGGAATCAAATCATATGTGTTAAGTGGTGAGTCTGGTCCGAAGAATACGCCAAAAGATGATTTTTTAGCCAGAGAAGTACCATTGTGCGGACAAGCCCCATCAGCAGCGATAACCAATGCTCTTAGGAAAGACTGTCTAGACTTCTTAGATGAATGAGCCTCATCAAACTCCAAGTAAGAGATTCCAGTATTCCTATCGTATTTAAGAATTTCCTCCACTGTGGCATCATGGAAATATTGACATGGCTGAAATTTCTGAGCTAGAGCCTGGATTTTTAAGCTTTTAGGGGCTTTCGGTTGACTTTGCTCCGACCGGCTAGGTTCATTCATCTTGTTCTGAGCTTGTGCTTTTACCCCCGGAAGTGATACCAATGTTGTGGTTTTCTTAGCTTTTGAAAAATATACATTCTTCATAGTTGACACATGGTGATTTAGGAAAGTAAATGTCGCGAAATTTGCAACTCTCTGACCTACTTTCCGCATCCTGCTACCCTGAAGCTTCGTTGGCTTGACTTCCTTTCAAAGATTGTCTTATTTCATTCTTGAGAGAGTGCAATTATGGATTTCATATTGAATGTGTAAATATTACTGAAAGAATTGAAAATAGGTCGAATACGTCGAGTGGAAGTCTGTTGACCAGCTCAGTACTAGCGCAGAATAGTCATGTTTCTACCACTTGTATAGAAAACTAGTTCATGCTTTCTTTGGCCTTTTACAGGAACCGAAATTTCCGCGTTTACCTTTATTTTCCTGTTGTCCAAAATTTGGGCTAACACTTGAGAAGCTCTCGTCATTGTTTCACAATACTAGTAAGACTATTGCATTGAGAGACGCAGGTTTCCAGATGAATTTCCTGATACATAACTCCCTGCATAAATCTCGTTTCCAGCTCAATGAAAAGGAGATTCCTTGCTTGATAGAATTTCTCTCAAAATCAGGTTCCATTCCACAACTGGTAATTCTTCACCTGGTGGCATATAAGTTCCCTGACGACGATCGATGTTGTTCCTGTTCTTCACCCAATAGAAACTGTGCATGCATAGGTAGCTACTATGCAGGGAGCTTATTTCCCATTCAAAACCATGGAAAAAAATTTCGGAATTTTGCTTGCTTGATCAGACAACTTGATGTGGCTAACTTCGTTTGTTTGCTAGAGTTTCAAAGTGTAGATATGAAAACAAATCATAAAATGACTTGAAGTGTGATAATTTAAATCTACATTCGCTGGTCTGAACGGCTGCCTCTAAAAGACAATGATTTATGTTTTAAGCCAAATCGGAAGATGGCAGATCAAAATCTCGACCTTTCAAGATCTGCGATGTGAGAAGTGCCAGGAGTCTCAGGAACTTTGAAAGAGTGAAAATCTTCCAGACGTCAATTCTCAAATGAGTCACGCCTGATACTCCCAATGTTTCGAGGCCAGCCCTTGAAGGTAAGATCACACTTTTTCCATGGTAATATACTGTAAATAGGTCCTCGCTCCAGCTGGAAAGAGTTTTCAGTAGACGAAGGCTGCTCCGTAAAAAGATTCAAACCCTCAACAGGGAGCTGATGGCAAGGAAACCAAAGCAGCGGAAAATGACTCCCACGTGACGACCAAGACAATCAACGGGGGTTACTTAACGAACGACCGACTCTTTTTCAAAGTTTCATGTGCAAGAATTATATCTTGCAACTCATTTGCTACCGGGGGGTTTTGTTTTGTCAAGCTTCTTGTGCTTGCAAAGTAACGTGACGTAGGTCCTCATTCATGAGGTGCAATGCATCTTGCCGAGATGCAAACAGGAGTTTTTGGGGATACAATCTTCAAGATTATTTCCTCACTGGGAGGAGATTCCAATCATTTTTGACCATTTTCCGTTTGCTCCCCATGAACATTAACTGATTTCTGGAAGGTCATTTGTAATCTGTATCGATTAATTAGTTGAGGGAGATAGAAAATGAAGTGGCAACGTGAAATAACTTCACTTACTTCTACTCGCCCATTGCTTCCGTCGCTCCTGCCTCAAGCATTGGCTTATTTCCCCATTCTCAAGTGTGGTTGTTCCATTAGCGGCAGGAATATCAGTCGGATGAGTCGATACACGTGACAACTTTTAGCCCCAAACTCGCATCTCTCCACACACTCACTTCGTTTTCTTGTCATTTCATCTCTTCTGCATTCTAAACAATCATCTCGGTGACTTGGTCGACTCAACACAGACCTTTCGACTTAGTTGAAGGGGATATATATATTCCTCGAACTTACTTTAGTGCATACTGTGCCTCTCACTTCGGAACGGATACTGAGGTTCGTGGCTTTGAAAAGCATCTCTTTAAAAGATTTGGCATTTCAAGCCTGTGTTATTTTATCTCAGACATGTCTTGCCACAGTCTCAAGCCTAATAAGTTCCTCAAGTCAGTGCTATCCTCCGCCATCAAATGCTTGTCTCTATCATTGCCACCAGCTGACTTTGCGCAGGAACTTAGGCAATGAAACCATCTCTGTTAATGTTGGTGTTGGTGACTCAGTATGTAACATGGATGCAGCATCAAAAGATCAACTGTCCTAAACAACCTTTAGCGTCGAGCTTTTACTGTTCACAAAGCCATACTTCAACAATGTACCGCTTACTTTGAGTCAAACAAGCTATTTGATACCATGGCTGGACAACAAGGATTGATCTTCCTTAATGAGGAAGACCCGAAAGTCTTCAAATTGTTTGTTGATTGGGCTTATAATGGTATGTCATCTCAGCCGCATGCACAAACTCTGAGTATCCTTGAATTTGCAAATGACTTATCAGCATCGTCACATTTAGGTACTGTTCAGAAGCCACGAACCAAGATACACGTCAAAAAAACTCCATCCTATGCAGAAATTCATCGTCTCGAATTAGAGCTTCTCGAAGAGTTTAATGGAACCCTCAAGACTCTGGTTAGCCTGTACTCGCTTGGCGAGAGATGGGGTATCCATAATCTGATGAATCGCGCTATTGATGCCATTCAGGATGGTTATCTCGAGTACGGTACAGTTTTTGGCCCAGGCCTCGCAGCCAAAATCTGGGAAGAGACGAAGCCAGACTCTGCATTGCGCGAGTTCTGTATCGCAAGCACGGTTATGCATTTGGGTAAGCGAAATGAATTATCCTAACTATGCAGCCTGCATCATCACACCTCACTTCTCATCATTTTTAACCCTTCTCTTATTGTATACTCATCAATCCTCAGTTTCACTATTTCGATTTCAATTCATCAGTTTCTAATTGCTAATATTTCATCCTCATAGATCGCGGTTGCACTAAACTTCGCCAGGAAGTGATGATGAACTGTATCGTTCTGCCAGGATACTTCCAAGGCATGCTCAAGTGGCTCTCGAGAAACTTTCAACTGTTAGGTCGACGTTCAGAGGAGGTGGTAGAAAAATGGACTTCGAATGAAAGTTTCAGCATGTTCCATAGGTCTAAGCTCTGTACTTGCCACTTTCATGTACACCCGGTAAGAGTTAGCCAAGCCTAAATATGTAGATTCATACCTGCTGACTATATATCACCCAGACTGGCCAGGCACACAAAGGACACAAATCATGCGAGGCTCCGTTTGTTGATTGCTCTCATCCAGGAGATGATGAGAAGATGGAAGAACTCAATATTTTCAACCTCGTATTAGGACGTGCAAGGATGGGATGCAACCTCAGCGATTCAGAATAGGCTTACACATGGGAGGTTCTGAAGAGCAGAGAGAGATTAAAAAGGGGTACACATAGCTGCGCTGTGGTGATATCGGTTCAAAACATGTTAGAATGCTCACTTGCTTTATTTGCTGTGTGATTTAAAGCAGTCAAAAGGCCCAGGCCCGATTAATTATTGTTTCAGATGTTCCTCGCAAGAAATATGAAAGATTTTCATCCCGGTAGCCGTCCAACCCATGATATTCACTTATGCAGATTGCATACTTGATTAGCCAACTGTAGCTCTTGCATAGAGTACGGCAGCTTTCTGTCCTTGGAGAATCTGTATGCATATTTACCTCCTACATGCACTTTTATTTTCTAGAAGAGTGGCTGTTTCTGAAGTCCAAGAGAATCTTTCAAGGAAAGAAACATATATTTATCTTTACCAAAGGTATCCGCCTCAATGAACAAGCTCAACTACTTCATCTCAGTCTAACTCTTGACTAGACAACTCATCAAGATTCATCAAAATATCCAACACTACCCGTCTTAGTAATTTGACATGCCACCAAGAAAAAATGCGTTGCTCGCATCCTCCAAGTAAGTCAATCCAGCTAGTCTTACTTTCCAAAGCTTATATTCATTCAGGGAACAAGAATTCGCGCAAGATTTTAGCATCACTGTCGGATCTCATGTCTTCTATATCTACAAGGACATTGCTATCAATTCCTCTAAAGTTTTTTCAAAAGTATGGCAAGACCACCCTTCCGCCAAGAGAATAAACTTTCAGCTTGAGGACTACGACGATGACGAAGATGATACAAACCTGGAGAGCTTCTACACTGTCGATGCGATGGCTCACCTCATTGGATACATGTACGGTAATGATCTAGGATGTCCCACGTCTGATCTGGATCGTCATACCGGCTGTCTAGTAGCTTGGTGCAAAGTCTACAAGCTCGCCTCTTATTTCGGCATGCCATCCGAATGCGAGAGCTCTCTAGATCGATTCCGAAAATGTCTAAATGATCGCAAATATCATCCCGTAATTCCCACTGCGGAAGAAGTCATTGCAATCTACCACTCGACGGGGAAGGATTCCGAGATACGCGAAGTGCTGGTTAGTGCGATGATGAAGATGTGGCGCTCGTTTAGAGTTATGATTGATAATTCGGGTGGGCTTAGTAAGGATACTTTGGAGGATTGGCGGAGGAGCTTGGTGGCGGTTCCGGAGTTTGAGAAGAGTGTTAGGAAGAAGGTGGGGAAGGAGGAGATTGACAGGCTGGAGAGAGATGAATTGGGTTCTGACGAGTGAGCTAGAAGTTGACTGGATGAGATAAATTGGTGCTTTGCTTTTATTTGCTTGTGATTTTACATCCCTTGATGTGATTGGGTTATAGAACTGTTAGCGCTGTGCTTGCTTGATAAACATTTACAGCTACGAAAGAATTCAATTTCTGTTTACCTTGAAACACATGGATCAGCCTTCTTTATTGTTCAAAAAATTCCTGGAACTATCTTCCTTACGACACAGCTCTAGCCATTTCTCCAACCAAATTTCTTCGATACGATATCCACCAAAATAAGATATATGATACGATCTCTTCACAATCGGTCTTCCATCTCTAGTTTCCAACATACCGGTCCCAGCTTGGGGCTCTCGGATATAGGTGCTGAGTCTATATAAGTATGAATCGTTTTACTAGATCCTTCTCAGCGTTTTCGTCTGGTCTATCATGTACAGTACTAGCGCACTGCTACTAGCCGAATGGCCTTTTCACACCCAGCCTCAACCATTTTACAAAATTAAAACAATTTTAATTATTATAAAAGTATAATTGAAATGAAAAATTGGATTACTTCGAGTTGAATATATAATAAAAAATTATTTGATTATTTTTTGATATTTTCAAAATAATGTAATTGAGTTTGAAAATGACCATATGAAATTTTGATTTGATTTTTGTGGTAAAATGAGGAAAATTTCAAAATCTAAACTTTAAAGTTATACAACTTTATCAATTAATTATTAAAATTTATAAAAATCAAAAATATAGAATCTTTGAATGAATCTTTTTAAATTTATCAAAGGATTTCTTTAAAAAATATTGAGTTCTTTTAATATTAATAAGTGAAAAGAGTGAGTTTTGGTGTAAAAAGAGCCTATGGCTAGTAGCAGTGCACGGTCACCGTAACATTATCTTCCTATACTTCACTATTAACTACCTACACTTTTATGATAAAATTGAGTTTTGGTTTGAGATGGCATCTGGCTGGGGAGATGATATTTTCTTCTTGGGTAGTCATTATCAAATTAAGATACCCTGGTATTATTTCTAGGGACCGCCAATGTATTCATTCTCTCAAGGCTGTTAAAAATATTTTGATTATTATCCTTCGGGGGAACGTCTACAGTAGTCACTTGTGGACTGTGGTGAATAGGACAATGGATTAATGAACAGGTTCTGTATCCTAATTAGCATATACAAAACAATCATTCCTCATGATTCATCAAAAATATCCTACGAAAGTAAAACAAACCCATTATCCAGAACGTATTCGCTGGTTGCCCATCCTAATCTTCCAGAACTCCTCCATACATACCAAAGTATCATAACCACAACGCTAACTTATCAAATTTGCTTGACTTGAAAAGCACAAGAATCTTCAGTCGCATCGACACACATCCCACTAATTATAAATTGACCCTACATTCCCCGATCAAAAGACATAGCTAGCTAAATCCCTAGTCTCATAATATTCCGCCATCGCTTCGTCCCTCTCTTCTCGTGAATACACATCCTCCTCTTCCGCAGATACTGTCCCGCTATCTGATATCAAAGAAGGTTCGGCATCATCCAATTCAAGATCCGAGATAGCATCTAAACATACCGACGGAGGAATAGGAGACTCAACCTCGAAGTAAGAATCTGAACTTGCACAGTCGCTAAGACTTGCGTAGCGTGAGACGTGCATTGAACAGTCCCCGTAGTTGCATACACTCGCTTGCTCTGAGTGTCGTTGGATTTCTTCAAATACATCGGTGTTGAAACCGGGGTGGCTATGGCAGAGGCTGGATAGCTGTCTATTCATCCCATCGAATCTTATTGAGAAGAGAAGGCTACGAACTTTTTCAACAATGAGATTTCGTAGATCATGTGCATTTGCTCGATTATGGTAGATATACTGGATTTCCGATGGTAGAGGCATCCAGTATCCAGTTCGTAGGGTATCCCTACAGTGGACATACTCCCACAGAGCTTTATGTGCCAAATCCATAACTCCCATTTCAACAGCTAGCACGTAGAGTATTACCCATTCCGAGATATGCGTAGCAGTGTCATAAGTTTCTGGATCACGACCAGGCATCGCATATACACATCCGTATATCCAGGTGAAAAATTGATTGAATGTATGAACTTCATCTTCGTATCGATAGATAATCTTTCGTTGACTTTGCTGGAAATCTCGAAATGAGGTTTCGATGGGTGATAGTTCGATGGCAGAAGCACTATACTCTTCGGTCTTTTGGTTGTGTAGCTGCGCGCGAAACCAGGGGGATTTTTCGCAGAGGAGACTCTCGTGGAAGAAAAATGGTCGTCCTTCTGGGCTGACAATTACTGTGACGATTCCGGAGCATGCATGTCTGGTATTCGTGTCAGGAATGATTTGTTGCAGGTGAAACTAAGATGTTAGGGGATCTTACTCGTGAATATATGAACTCATCATTTTCGTGAGATACAGTTCCGAGAGACTATAGATTTGTACTCGGGCGGTTTAATGGTAACAAGTGAGGTGAAAAGAAAAAACCACAGGGAATTTTTAAATATCTCAAAGGTAATTCAGATTTATCTTCTTGGGTGGCTGTCAAGTACATCTCCACGAATCTAGCTCAACTTGCCTGGCTTCTACGGATACTTCTGCACTTGCAAACGCCCAGCCTCATATTCAAAAGTCCCGGGCCTCAAAGTGATATTCAAGGTGTATCATTCAAGATTCTCTTCCCTTCCCTCTCAAAACTTGTCAGCTACAGTTTTCTTGTAGGGAATATTGTTGATTACTATTCATCCAGAGTAATTCAAGGTAAAGAATATCAGCTCAAAAATACGGGAAAGTAGGACAAACTGAATAAAGCAAATGCGGGCGGAGGATCATCAATGCAGTTTTCCATCTTGCAGGATTTTCTCCGTCCGCATATGAACCGTCTGCATATAAACCGTATAAGATGTTTGAAATTGATCCTATTGTTCGTGCTCGGTGAAGGTTGGGGTAGCACCGAGCTGAGACACTACCCAAAATAGTGCATCCATCTGCCACCCCTTCCCCTGCCGAGACTTATTTTTGCGGGGGGAAACACGGATTATGGCGGCTAGATCGTCACCACCATGAATTAAACACTAATTGACGACATCTAGAAATTCAAATAAAATGTGAGTTGTGATATCGTGAGTTTCTGTGCAACGGTTTATGTCATAGTTTGGAAACCTACAGACCTAGTTCTTCACGGAGCGGGAAGGCGCTTTAGCTCTTGAATCTAGAATCTTATCGATTGGACTATCGATGTAAGAATCAGAACTATTATGCAAACGAAAAGAGCATAATAGTGTCTACTTGGAATTCTGGGGACCAACATCTGCAGAGAACTCATATGGAGATTCAACGAGTAGATTCTATCATTTCAGGTCCGCGAGAGCTGCTGGACAAAGGATATTCTTTGTAAGATCTACAGCAACTCCGAAAGTTCTCGTCCGATCTTCACAATTTATTATCTTTCGAGGCCACGAATATGGCAACAAAGATAAGATGGAGGGAGAGTGGGCATTCAGGAAAGCTGGTGTGGAGAAAATACGAGGCTTGTAGTTTCCGCCATATTCGACAATATTTATGCCAGCTTTCTTCGTACATAATTAACGCGCCCGCTAAGTCAATGGGAAAACAAAGCCCAGGATATAGCTGTTTCTCAAAAACTAATTGAACATCGCAAGCTCGGAATCTAACCAGACCTTGGCATTCTCATGAAATATCTGCTTGGCCAATATGATGTGTTCTGCACAATCTCACGGAGAATTTCTTTTAGTATTGAGTTACTTCGGATTTCTTCCAGCACAAGGTGAGTTGGAAAATAATAGAAAGAAGTTCATTTTGAGCTTTTGAAGAGTAATTATAGCTTCTTTTGGAGTTATCCCGATGGATGGAAGTTTCCAGGGTCAAATTCCAAATAACATAAATCTTTCCCTTGTTTAACCTATCTCACAGCTCATTATCTTTATTTACTTCTAATAGTTTCTGCTGCTTATTATCCAAGCAAGGTAATCATTTAGGAACACAAAAAATTTCCCACATTTCCTAGTCTCCCAATTTCGATCAATTCAAAATTTCTTCATCGGGCGTCATAACTTAAACCTCATTCTCCGCATATCAACATATCGGAAGCGTTTGTTGCTCAAAATGGTAGGTTTTATATCCTTTTCTCGAAAGTTCCGACATTGACTAATAATACCTATGCAGGTAAAATACGTGCAAGAGGTGCTCAAGTGAGGAGAACGAGGAAGACAAAAAAAGCAGGATAGCAAGAAGAATTAGGACAGCGATGAAAATTGGAAATAGCGACGACAATGAAAATAGTGAGTTTGGTCATGGTAGTGAGGATGATTACGGACGGTATCGACGATGCCTACGTTATTGAGGTCCAAGTAGACGGGGACAACGAGAATGATCAGGATGATCATGGTGATTATGAAGATGATGGTAGTGATGGCAATGAAGATTATTATCATGGTTAAGAGTAATTGAGGTTGATGAGGAAGAGGAGGAAGAGGAGGAAGTGGTGGACGACGGCAAAGACGATGATCATGAAGGCCATGAAGTCGAAGAAGTCAAGCCACCTCCTCCTATGGCCGCAGAGAAAGAGAAATCTCAGTACAGGTATGGATTTCAAATCCATCATACTGATATCTCCTAGAGCCGAAGATTTAGAACCCGGCGAACGAACTGTGAAAGATGCGAGTTCTTTTGCATCATTTTCGATTCCATGGAAGTTGTCCTAGATGCAAGTTTCAATTTCAATCATTGACCAAAGCTCCATTATGCAGTTTGATTTAATTCTATCTCTTGTTCAAGATCCGCATTTTTTTTAATTTTTTTTAGGTTCATCTTTCCACATTCTTACCCCTCGAGCTACAGCCATTATCTCCTTTAATTAACCGAACATGTGATTATTTTGACTGTCTTTTTTTTTTGTACACAGATTGATTGAGCTTTTGTTGCTCAGCAGGCTGGTTTTAGCGATGCATTTGCTGCTCGTACTCGCTTTGGATAGGTTAGCAAGAAACTTAGAGATCATTATCGATTACAGGCACAACCGCTCATCCCTACTGTGGCAGGATTCCCTCTCCCAAGAATCCTCGAACGAGAGAAGACTGGAAAAGCAAAATTAGTCTCATTTGATCCGAAGGAACTAAGAACATTCAGGAAAGATCTACCAAGCCTGGAACTCCCCAGAAGTTTGATAAACAAGCGGTCAAAGTTCACACAAAACCGTGGCCAAGGATACACCATGCTCAGAAACGACCACGAGCCCGTAAACCATTCACGCATGCTAATAGCGTGATAATTATGATATTTTGAATGAGTATCAGGATAATGAGGAATTTGACCTGAATAATTTTCATGGATTTCATAGAGAGAGAGCCTTACTGTTAGTGATGAAGGAGAGGAAGGTAGTGCCAGTGAGGATGGACAAACCGGAGGATTTTGCCATGGTGGTGGAGGAAGACTCATAGAGCACTAAGCCGTAAGATTTATTGGTTCCCAAGTCTACAATCCTCCCATAATATCATATGCATTATTTTCATGGGATTGGGCTAACTATTTTTGATAGATTGAGTATCAGTCCAGAGTTGAGAGATTCATTCATAATGGTATACATGGCTATCTCTTGAGTCAGAGTTTGTATGGGATTGTTCAATAGTGACAACTTCCACTCTTTCCGGCGAGTTCTTTGGGTCGTATTCCAATGGATGATCCACACACACATTTTATGGATGTAGATATGGAAATAATTAGTTGAGATGTGGAATAGATAGAATGTCTAATAATTCAATGATTTGATCCTACAACCATATGTGCACTTGGATCAGAGGATTCATGGTGAATTTGAATATGAATATAAATAGAAGCATATTGAGATGTACAATGCTGACACGGCGCTCCTGGTTACCATACCATCTTCTACTTAATACAGCAGAACATGGTCATAATATGATGCTAGTTCATTGACAGCTTCACATCAGATTGCCTCTAAACTGCCCAGTAAACTTGATTCTATCACGGAATTCATGGCAATTGACGCTGGGTATGGTTTCTTTTGCCAATTGTCGCGACTTCCAATCTGACGATCTTTATGTAAAATTACCGTTTCATTAGGGCTGGATATCGCTCAAGGACTTCTTTTGGTGACTCATTGCTTCGTCTGGTGGCGTTTCGGGCAATGCATCCCGATCTTTGATGGGACATTTTTCATTCACTTCATCTTCATGCACAAACGATCAGTCAGAACATGGCAGAATAGTACGATCGAGATCTATAGATCCATCTCTAGCTAGCTAGTACGGAAGAATGCCATTGTATTCCTTTTAAATATCGATCTTTGCTCGAGCTGATACCACCGGTCTCGCTCTTGATACTGCCAGAGTGATGGTGCCAGCTCATTCAGGATTCACAATTCTAACTCTACAAAGACGTCAAAACTTCACATAACCTACCAAGTGAGGCTAGAGGCCGATTTGATGTTGACATGAACATTCGACCTTTTTCAAATGCAAAATGCAACACATTGATTCATTCAATAAAGCCCTTACCCCGCTCTTAATAACAAATTAACCTTCCATTAGATCTAGAACGATGCTCGAAACGGAAAACTTCGATCAATTCATGCAATGGAAAAGAGCTGACACCGGTGAAAGTCACATGTGAAAATGGGTAGCCTCCAGAATGAACATCTGCAGATGACTTTTAGTGAATACCTAGTGAAGGTTGACTTCCGCATCATCCAATCAAGCCACAGAGAATATAAGAGAGATTTGAATGAGCACCGTTCCCATGGAGACATATAAGCACATCTTCATCACACATTCAACTTAATTTCTTCATCTCACCTACACAACATTTTCCTCAACCTCAATCAGTTGACATTATTCACATTCTCATACCATTTAACAACCTCACACTTTCATACATCAAGAGCTTGCATTACTCTGCAAGTCCATCATGTATGTTTCATTACTTTCATCTTTCTGCGATACCTTTATCGTGCTGACAGCTTTGGTATACGTAGATCGGCTCGTCGCGTCCCATTCCACAACAAACACCTCTCCAACCAACATCAAAATGTCCGACAACGAGACTGCTAGTACTCCAGCTCAAGCCAATGGCGGTATGAGCCAGGTCGAAGTTGATTTTCTCATGTGCTGTCTTCGTAATACTACTGGTGGCTCTATCCAGGTAAGTTATCTTGTCGCGCCTTCGATTTTCTCATGCTGCCATCGTTCTTTTACCCACCATCTTTGATTTGCGACGCACAAATACTACTGTAATATACTTCCACATTTCAACATCGCAGTGATATCTCAGGTCCTTCAATTTCCTTTTAATTACGAATTCTCTTCTAAAAATACAAAAAACAAGTCTTGCTTCATTCTTGCGCGGCACGACATCACAACATCGTGACTGTAATGGCTTGTCCTTTTTTTTTGGAAAACCCCTCGCGAGAAATATTTCACATCCTCTTCAATTTCGCATTACACTTTCATGCCGCACATTTTTGATTTTCCAATTATTGTCCCCAATAGCTGATTAGGGAAAAATTTTCAAGGTCGATACTCAAAAAGTCGCTCAACTCTTGAACTACAAGAACCCTCGTTCAGTAAGTCATACTCTTATCTATTCGATCTTTCATTACCTGACCTATACTATAGGTTTCCAACAAGGTTTCCAGCATCAAGAAGAAGTATAACCTTCCCTTCGGTGCTTCCAGCCGCACCGCCGAAGAGATGGCAGTAAGCAAGCCTGGCAGGGTGACGCTTCACCAAAGAAGGCATCTGATGCAAATGGTGATAATGAGCCCGCCGTTCCTACCACCCTTCAAAAATAGGGTCACCAAGGCCAAAGCCACTCCAAAACCTCGCGTCAAGAAGACACCAGCGAAGAAGTCCACCAAGAAGGTTGCCGCTGAGGACTCCGAAGAGGAAGAGCTTAGCGACGTTAAGGATGAGGAGATGGAAGATGCAAAGAGGAAATCGATGAATAGATATCTTCACGTCATATCTTTTCAGGGGCTGGTGTTGGTGCTTATATAGCTGAGGTGTCATATATGCCACCTAAGCTTGATATGAGTGCCGCATGGTGGTTCTGTTCAACGTTTGCTCCTCAAGTCCTGACGCTTTTCTTTTTTCTTTGTATGGCGATTGGGGTTTACAAGAGATGCTAGAGAGATGAGAGGCGTAAATTATCAGCCATGGATACTAAAATGATTGTCAATTGCTCGTTTTTAGGGATAAGGATGATCCATAGGTGGTTGTTGGTTGTTCCACTGCAGCGTTGAGTTGTTCTGGAAACTACAATATCGGAGATCTTTATAGGGTTATTACTTATTTTACTTTGAATGTGACGGTGAATTGCTTTTGCACTCGTTTGGCTTCCAAACTTGCTCAACATCATGGCAGAGATAGAGGGAAAAGCAATATGAGGTCTGTGCAAACACAGCCAACCAAACGGAAACGCCTCAGAATTTGTATCATATTCTTCATAATGCTTATTTTCTGCCGCCTAGAAGGTAAAATGCATATTTCATGCATAATCTGACCATAAAATGTGATGATGGCTTTGTGAGGCAGCAATAATTCATTTTCCAATTTGAATGGAAACCTGCGGGAAGATGAGATGCAGCTAGAAAGAGAAATATCTGGATAATTCACTTTTATTACTATTGCTGCCTATTAATTCGAGTACCTAATATATGGCTGGCTATAAGGTCACAGCTCATCTTTGCTGCTGCTCAACTGCTTCTCTTCTTCTCCATCCATCAACACCACATCCTCACTACCGCAACCAAAATTCATAGTTCTTGCAAATTAGCTTGC